CATTGGATGTTGTCTAACTGTCGGTGAAGATTGATTATTTGTCATTGCCGTTGACGCTTTTGTACCTTTTCAAATTAACAAAATGAAAATTAAAAAAAAAGATTATTTTTACAATATAATATATCTATGTTATTGCTTGTCAGTTTTATCTTTAAAATATTATTTCAATAACGATAAGAAAAATGTTAAGTTACTTCAAGTATTTAATTATATAAAACTTACTAACACATATCTTAGAATAAAACATAGTTAGGACTCGATGTGGCTCCAGATACCGATATATTCAAAGTATTTGTCACCATTACCTTTTGGTTCTTCCTGTTCCTTCTCTGCATCAATCTACATTATAAAATTATAAATTGTACATCAACATACATAGCATTATAAAAATGATTATATATAAACAAACAAACAAACAAAAAACAAATAAACAATTCAAAGGTTTCTAATTGTGACATTTCTTTCCTTTTACTTTCTAAATCTTTTTTTTATCTTATATACATTTTTGGTGAAATTTTATTGTACATAGTGATTATGCTTTAATTTACAAAATGAAGATTGATAAAATAAAAATAATGTAAACTGGTTTACAAAACTTTTAAGTACTAGTAACTGCTATCCGGCCGGCTATATGTCAGGAAAAGTTTTAACTAATTACTGATTTAATAATAGTGAAACTTATTATACAGTTAAAATCAATAAATACAATTCACCCGGTCCTATCAGGTGAAATGAAACATCATGTGTAACTTCTTTAAAAACGATGCACTTTTAACAAAAAAAAAAAAAGAAAAAAAAAAGAAGTGCAGACTAACATATCTTAAAGCATTAAATTATGGAAATAGCTATTTATGATTTAGCTTCATTGAAATACATTGGTGAGTGTTGATTATATAATTTTAGAACAAGCAAATTCTCCCCCTCCCGCCCCCAAATTTCTTAAGTTAGAATCCAACTGTGTACATTTATGCATGTAGTATCATACTTGAGTTAGCTTTCAAAAGTAGACATCATAATATCAATTCACCATATCCAAAAAGACATTATTAAATATTGCGAACATGAACACTTTAACATAATCAATACAATCAAACATTTGTATTGAATAGATGGAGAAAATAACAGGAAAAATGCTTCAGCATAAACTCAATCTAACTATCTATCTACCGGCCGACCGACCACTCACCCATATGTCAATAAGTGAATTGTATACACATGTAGTAATTCCTGTATAATCATCAATGTTATATCAGAAATAAATAAATTGTATAATAGGAAAGAGCATCGAAACACAAGCCTATCTGATGTATACGAGAGGCCGTAGCCCCCACCCCGAGTATAAATTAGATTGCCGAGTGATTTGATGTTCTTTCTCTTTTGTATCATAGGAAAAAATAAAAACACGTTCCCTTCACAATATTAAACCCCAGAAAAAAGTTAACAATGAACGAGCATCTGAATATGACTTTTCAATCATTATCCCTTTCTCTCTTGTAAAAATAAGTAAATCCAGGAAAAATAAACCAATCAGACAAACAGTGACGCACTCCAGTTAACGCATTGTGCATGTAAGATAGTTAACTACTTGACACGTTTCAATTGTAAAGTCTCCAAACTATTAAACAAATATAGCATGAATACATCAAATGAATTAAAAACAAAATGTAATGGGCAACAAGTATAATAAAACTTCGAATTATAACACAAGCAGATTAAGGTTCTTAGTTTGACTTGTAATTAACATATTCTTTAAAATTGTTGAGATAACCTAATTCATGCATTTACACAAACTAAAGCTGTAAGAACCCCTTTTTTTGCTTTTTGAAGTTCACTCCTAGTTTTATAGTAAAATGTGCATTTCTGTCAAAACATGAGAGTGAATAATGATTTTTACGCGTATTTGTTATTTTCTTAATGGTTCATAAACGTGATCTGATGGTAGTTCACTAAAGTCAGATTCAGCGAAATTGATGTACACTGGATCTTGTCTTATTGTCGATGTAGTTGGATTGTTTGTCATTTGCGTTGAAGATCTTGTACCTTCATAAATAACAAAAAAATATATATCAAAATAAATATATCGATCTTGTACCTTGACAAATAAAAAAAGATATATACTACTGAACTTTTTACATAAAATTTGTTAAATTGGATTTTTTTATACAGTTTTAGACTTAATACCGTGTGTGTGACCCGTGACTATCAATGACAGTTTGGCAGCGCCTTCTCATACTGCCTATTAGGTTTCTGGTCGTTCTAACGGGTAAGGCTGCCAATTCTTGGACCAACATGGCCTTAAGCTCCTTGATGGTTCTGGGTTACAGCTGACAAGCTGAAATTCTAACATGCAGCTCATTCCACATGTGTTCTATTGGATTTAAGTCAGGTGAGCGAGAGGGTCAGTCCAGGCGCCCAATAGACTCCCTCTCTAGGTAGTCCTGGACCACCCTGGCTCTATAGTGGCTAGCATTTTCGTCCATTATAATGAACTGATCGCCGACTGCTTCAGCATACAACCTTACCTGGTTGTCTATGATGTCATCTTTGTATCGCTGACCTTTCAATGTGCTTCTATTAAGCACAACCATGTCGACGTTTCGTCTACCCCCAGCTGATGCAATCCCACACCATAATTGACGCACCTTCTTAGCGGTCACGCTCAGCAATATTTGCAGCCTGAACCGTTAACCTCGTTTTTTTCAGACTCTAGCATGCCTATCTGTGAACTCTAGGAAGAACCTGGACTTATCGAAGAACAGAACGTGGCTCAAGTCCTGCATAGTCCTTCGTGTATGATCCATAGTCCATTTAAAAAGGGCCCCTGGCGATTCGAGCATAAAGGGATTCGTTTTAAAAGTTCTCACCGCATTTATCTTCGCAGCTTCACGTACCCTGCGTGGGAAACGGCCCCCGCCATTGAAAGCCCAAACCCCATTAGCTTTTTGTGACCTTTTTTCCCCCAGATGCCTCTTGGGGGTTTTACCTGTACCCCTATTTCTCCGGGGCTTGTGATGACGGGTGTGTAAACCAGCCCCCGCACCCCAACCTAGGGAAAGTGGCCCCTGTGCACCATCCCTCAGCCCCCTTTTACCCTGCTCTCTCAAATCCCCTAATTAGCTTTTGCCATATCAAAAGTGACAGAAATAAGCCACTGAAATGACAAAAAGGGGGGCCCTTTTAAAACAAAAAGGATTGTAACCCCCATAAAAAAAAAAATATTGCGTGCAGGGCTTTCCATTACCTAACGAGTTTTATTGGATTATTCAACACTGATTTATTTTGTCAGGAGACTACCACAAAACATTGTTGAATCAGAATTTAAAAAGAAATGGAAAGAAATCTGCTTACTTCTTGTGTTTATATAAAAAATTAACTAATGGTGCTTAGCAAAAGTTGAGCAGTATACATGAACATAATCGGATTGTCTTAACTGGCTTTTGATACATAGCTATAGATTACAAATAAGGTATGTTGTGTTGTGACTAGACTGTTAATTATGTCGAGTTTCATATCGTTTGACTCACCTTTAATTTTTAGTCATGTGTATATGTTATAGCTCTTATTATCGATGTTGTTTAAAACTCAATTTCAAAAAGGAAAAGAACAGATTGACATTACAACAAGTAGTTCACTGTTTAAAGCTTACAGACTTCTATCTTAGAAAAAAATAAAACAATATTATGTATGTCTTGAATCATTTACTGAACAAAGTACTCAATATCGTAAAGTTTCTAAAGCTACATATTTACTGTCTGTTGACTGTAAATTTATTTTATGGATTGTGAATTACAGAGTACATGGAATGAGAAAAGAACTTGTCACTATATTTTATTGAAAGCGACTGGATTATGCCTATTATTGTCACAAAACCTACGGAAAATACAATCGGAAGATTTTGTTCTGTCAACGTATAATATTTATGTACTAAATTACGTAGACATACTTTATTTAAAATAATAAAAAAAGATCATAATATCATCAAAACTTTTTAAGTTAACTGTTTTTTTCTCTTTTAACTTATATAAACCATTACATCAAATAAAACTTAAAATACTTTAACATGTTTACCTTTCGAGCCTGCCTGTTCATTACGATATTTTTTTCGTCTAAGCAATCTAAAGAATAACATCATAAATCATAGATTTAACCGTGATAATAATTAAAAAATAACAGTTAGTGAAGAAGCTAGAAAATTTCAAATTATAAGATTTTCATCAACAGTTCATTTCGTGCAATAGATAAAACTTTGTTTTTCCTTTACCTTTAACATCCCATACTTTTATTGTATATATTTTTTTTTGTTGGAAAAAGTTCGGTCTAATTGTACATGATTATTTTTTTAAATAATTTTTTTTAAATATTTTATAAAATTTAAAAAAAAATTTTTTATTTGAAATACGTATCTTTTTTATTGTTTTAAAAACTTTACGAAAAAAACATAATTTTGAGATTTGCTTTTTACAGTTTTTTTTTGCAAATTCCAAACCCTTTTTCATACAAACAGGTTCCCCACCCTTATAACCTAGGAAGGCTTTTAACTCCATCTTGTGAATTCTCAGTTTTCAAAATTTCAATATTTTGACCAAACGGGGAAACTTTAAAAAAATTTAAAATAAAATTATTAAAATTAACAATATAAATTAGAAAACATTTTCTGTATCAATGGAATAAAAGATCAGTACGAAGAAAATACTAAATATATAACATATTAATCAAGTAAAATAACTTTTTTTTGTAACTTTGCGTAATATTTGTATTTTGCTTAATTGTTTATTTTTTTATTTCACACTAAAGAAGTTTTACAATTTCAATATCGTTGACAACCTTTAATATTATCTCTATATACCGGTATATTTTGATATGTCATAAAAAATTAGAACTTATCTATACAAATTTATATTCACTGTATGCATTACTTCGATATACCCAATCTTTCCTTTAATATATAAAGATAAGTGCATTAACATCAAATTTAATTTATTTCGTGGAAGTATGAAAAAAATACATACATGCTTAATTTCTTCATATTGAAATAATTATATGATATTTATGTCAACTAATGATAAATGCAACTATTCACGCCAAAGGAAAACTTTTTTTATTCAAATGCTGGTCTGCTGTTTAAAAATGAAATACAAATACTCACTTCTTTGTTCAAGTTTGATTTTGACTTCTGCGTTTAAAATGATAAGAACAAAATAAGTAAAATAAGTAAAAATACCTAAAATGGCTGGGCAAGAATACGAGCATACTCCAGTACTTATGCTGCAACAGGGGCATTCATCCCTGCACAAGCGCTGACAAAGTAATCCCCATCGTCCAGATGGACATATACTACAGTATCCAGTTTCTTTATTGCATTGAAGGCATTTGTCGGACTTGCACGAAATCTGACATGTGTCCCCCCAAAAACCTGGTTGACACATTGAACATACCCCATTCGCCACAGAGCATTGTTCACATCTTGTGCTGTTGCATATATTGGAACAGTCGTTACCCCAATATCCGTTCCTACAGTTTATGCAATATCCAGTATATCTATTACAACCCCATGGGCAAGACTTGCTGCACATATTTTCACAAAACTTACCCCATCTATTAAAACTGCAATTTACACATTCGCCGGACGCAATACGACATTGTGATGGAGAACATGACTTATTACATTTGTTTTGACAGTATGGTCCCCATAATCTATCTTTGCAAGTACCACATACGCCATTGTTCTTACTACAACTTAAACAATGTTGGCTGCAAGTCTTGTTACAGGTGTCATCCCAATAATTAAGCTTGCATGAAGTGCAATAGCCATCACTTTTAAGACACAATGAAGACAAACAACCTTTACCACAAGAATGAGTACAATCGTCTCCCCAAAGACCTGGCTTGCAACTACTACAGTATTCATTGCTTCTATCGCAGCCTAGGGAGGAACAACCTTGACTGCAAGTATAATTACAAAATTAACCCCAAAGTCCTGGCCTACAGTCAGCACAATGACCGTTTGTTCTAGAACAGCTCGTTGAGGAACAGTTGTACATGCAGGTTTTGTTACAATAATCTCCCCAAAGTCCGGCAATGCAGCTGCTACATTTTCCATTACTTTTATTACAGCTTGATGAACAGCCTTGGCTGCATGTCCTGTTACAGATGTCTCCCCAATACTTGCTTTTGCAATAACTGCAATATCCATCACTATGTCTACACGTTGAGTAGTAACAGCCTTCGCCACAAGTGTCCTGACAAAATTCGCCCCAAAGTCCATTCTTGCAGCTGCTGCACTTACCATCATTTCTATTACAGCTTAAGAGCGAACAACCATAGCTACATGTTTCATTACACAATAAACCCCAATGTCCAGACTTGCAAGTACTGCATTGTCCGTTTGATCTAATACAGCTTGAAGAGAAACAGTTGTATATGCATTTGTTGTCACAATTTGCTCCCCAAAGACCGGAAGTGCAGCTACTACAATTTCCATTGCTTTTATCACAGCCTGATGAACAACTTTGACTGCATTCATGTTCACAAAGATTCCCCCAGTATCCATATTTACATCTATAACACCTGTAATTAACACTACATGAGGACGAGTCACAATTTCCAAGTTTACACATTATTGAACAGTTATGTCCAGCAAAGCCAGATTGACATGATGTACATCGTCCATCACTTTTTCCACACTTATCTGACTTACAGTTTCCACAAGTATTTTGACAGGTTTCTCCCCAAAATCCCGCTTTGCACGTCTGACATTCTCCAGATGAGATACTACAAATATCACAATTAATGTCAGAACATTTTTCTTCACAAGAAGTGTTCCAAAATCCGGTTTTACATGTTCGACATTCACCTGTTAGTTTGTCACATATTTTGCAATTTGGAACACACGTGTTGTTACAGAATTCTCCCCATTTATAATCATTACATACTTTGCATGCCCCAGTCGTTTGATAACATTTATCACAATTGACATTACAAGTGTTGTTGCACATTTTACCATACCAGCCATCGGTACACGAATAACAACTTCCATCACTTTTACCGCATGATAGAGAGCTACAATTTTCCGGGCAATTTTTATTACAGTATTCATCCCAATAGCCAGATCTGCAATAACTGCATACCCCTGTTGCTTCATTGCAATAAGATCCACAATTTGTCTCACATGCTGTCTTGCAGTCATCTCCCCAATATCCAGATGGACATGTGCTTTTGACAGTTTCACCTTAATGAATTTAATAAGTTTGATTTTTTTATAGAATATCAAAATATCAGTTAACTGAAATTATTTCTTGTATAAAAGGATGCTAGAGTATATTAATACACAAAAGTTTTTCTTATAGAAATACATGAAGTCTGTTCTGTATTTCATGAATAGATTATAATTTTACTGTCAACATCTGACAACAAATGCTGACATGTTTAAGTGTACTTGATTTTAAATGTTTTTTAAGATATTTATTTTGAACTTACACAACCGTTGTAAACAACCTAACATCATATTAAGAAAGTGCTAGCATATATTTTTTTTATATTGTCTCCCCTCTACAGAAAGTTATTAATCATGTACATAAATTTGACCTAGTCTCGGAGCAGTTAGTTTACAAAGATAATACAAAGACATTAAAGTTATTTTGCTAAATTAAAATGCCCAGAGTTTAATGATTTAACGTAATGCGTAATCATGTAGACGACCTTTACAAAACTTAAATCAAGCCAAATTCAAAATTTGCCCAGCCCTAATGGGCACTTAATATCAAACATAGACTTGAATAAACCAAATAAGTGAAACTTGTATGTTGTCAATTTTGATATTTGGCATGAAGTAATTTTTAGAAGACTGTTGCAAAAGTTATATGTATAAATACAAAGCGTTCGGTCCTTGCTGTCATTAATTTAACACAGACTTTTTTTAAAACAAGATTAAATCTTATGAGAAACTCCAAAAAAAACCCTTACGATATTAGCATGTGTGTAACACATTGTGTGAATTCACATAATTTAACAAAGACGAATACAGAAAACGCGTTAAAATCTTTATTTTCTTAATTTCATTATGTCCTAGATTTAAGATATTTTGTATGTAACATAACATATAGACCTAGTCAAAATTTACATAAAACCATCCCTTCTGATCGAATTTTTCCCCACAAAGGAGGTTACTTGACCTAGACCAATGAATAATTCCTCTGTGTGCCATGTGCCTATGGTACAACACTAGTTAATACAATTGTACCGAATATCCTACTTTTGTTACGAAACACAGATGAGCGGTCTACGGCTATCTTTATTTGATATTTACTACAAGAACATAACATACATGTATGATTTATCAATGTAAATGCATGTTTATAATCTTTTTATTATTTTAAACAAGATTTACATAGACCGCTTATTACTTTGCTGTTCTAGATTAAACCAAAACAAACCTATCATGAAAAATAAAAAGTGTATTATAATAATGTTAATTTTAAAACAGGTATGATACATATTTACCATTTGGTTATTTATCAGATGCAATTAATATTTTAAAACATAATACCTTTTCTGTATATTTATTCATAAATGATATACATGTAAGTTTATTGTTTCACTCACCGAAAACGCATAAAATCAAAAAGAAAACTTCACAGGTAACAGGCATTTTCCTATTTCCTTAGAATAAATGATCCAACTTTTCTTTTCTCCTGTTAATTCTTTGCAATGTCTACATTCAGCAGCTCGTAATGATGATCTGTTTGAAACTTCCTTGTCATTCATTTTTGAAAAAAATCACACGCCCTTGTAATTTTAAAATCATGATGATAAAAGTAACCGGATGGACGCACTTTGTATTATTTATATTTTGAATGTATCGTCGTGAGATTGAGCAAGATATGAAATCTTGATATAAACATGTCATGTTTTACAGTGAATATGCTTCCAGCGTGATGATAACATAATTCGATTTTTTTTTATTTTTGCAAAGCATTATTAAATGCAATATTTTTAGAATGTGACTTTGACTAGCGGTGTAATGAAAACAAGACGGCCATGATGGCCCTGAATCGCTCTCAGAAACAACTGTCTTTCAGTGATAGAAATCATGTTTCAGTTGAACTTGTAAAAAGACAAATCAAGATCAACTTCAACTTGCCTCTCTAGTTATAAAGTTTCCCGACACTGATTGTTTTTTCTTCATATTAAAATTTTGATTTTTTTTTCATTTTCAGCTCAAGCGGCCCCTTAAATGGGACAAATCAAATTAATTTGAGCAAACTTGATAAAAAGAAACATTTAAAAATGCTACAGACAAAGTTTTGTGACCATCTATCCATCAATTTGTGGTAAAAATTGCTTATGACTGTCTTCCGGAATTACGATCTTTCTTAATTTTACTTATCTTAAAAATTTGATAATTACATAATCTCCATAACCAGAAAGTAAACGACTACATAGAGCTGTTTTGATGAAATATATTCAATGAACAGGATAACTTAAACAGGATAAAACAAGTTTACTTTACGGTGGAAAAAAGTTTGATGAAAAAAGTTTCAAAATTACTTTAAAAAAAGTGATTACCAAATTTCAAAAAGTGATTCTGAACAGAAATATTTAAATTGATATAAATAGACAAAAAATAAAAATTACAAAATTAACAAAGTTTCAAAATTTCCTTTTAAAAATCCCAAAAAAACAAATGGACTTAAAAAATTTAGATTTAATATCATTTTCCAACAAAATAACAACTTTAAAAACGGTTTTAAGTTTTAATTTTAATTTGCATACGGGAAAGTTTTTATACCATTAATAATATGTTAAAAGTTTTTTAGATAAAACGTGAAAAAACAAACCCCGATATTTACTAAAATTTTTTTTTTAAAAGTGTGAAATACATTAAATACATGATTCGATTCTATATATAATAGCAGATAGATGTAAAGTATTCAAGTAGCTTTTTGTTTATACTGATAATTTTTAGTTATTGGTTAGAAATATCTTAATTGAGAAACGAGGATAATAAATTTTTACGCGATTTAATTATACTTCATGATTGCGATTTAAATACACGTCAAGATCGGTTAACTGGATTCCACACGTTTCAAATAATATAGCTGTATCTTACATCTTCCCAAACCCGTTGTTTGAAAAGTGTACTGTCAATAATATTATTAGAGATTAGTCATTCTTGTTTGCGACGCCGGTGAGCGGCGTCGTCTCTTATGGACTGCCTTTTTTGGCCCAGAGAAGGAGCTATTATTATTAGCAGTAAATGTCATATTGTGTTAATTAGTTTTATTTTGATTCATAAGAATCAAGTAAACAAATATGTTGTTATATTTGTGTTTAATAACTTTATGTTTAAAGCTTGTGCATCGTAATATTATTTTCATGAAATTGCAGACTCAGTTTAACATCTTGTCTCGTAGCTTTATTGGCAATACAAAAAGTCGGATTTCGAATATCGTTGTGGTCTACATTGATGGTAATTTTATTCTTTTTCATTTTTTTGTTATTGATCTTATGGTTTAGAACTGTTCATTATTAAAGAGATAATGTGTAGCCGGCCGTATAGATCAGTTGGTCTTTTGACAGTCATGGGTTCGAGTCATGGTCAGGCAGTTTCAGTCAGGGTTTACAAGTGTTTTTTCAACTGACACATGTTTTATTAATTTAACAGATTGTATTAAATTTGAAATGAACAAATACAGTATTGTATGCATTATACTTTTAGATCTACAAAATGCATTTGATACAGTTGATTCAAGCATTTGCCATAGGTAATGACATTCTTATATGGTTCAAATCTTATCTCTGAAAGACAGCAGCTGGTGGATGTGGCTGGTACTCATTCTACTACTGCTCAGAGACCTCTTTGATGCCAACCATATGTCAATGACATGTCTACAACCCTAAGCAATAAGCTTTTACTGATTATTCAGGTATCCTTGTATCTGATAAATTAAATCTGAAGAAATTAAGTCTTATGGCAAGAGTCTTATTAGTGATTGGTTAATTGGTTATCAATTGTCTGTTTTGTTATATTTTTGTGGTCCTTGGGATCATTGATGCCAGCACTATTACGTGTTGAGAAATTAGTACCGCTCAAGCCGGTGCTAGGGGGCGTGAGGCATGTTGCAAGTATTCATTATCCCTCATGTACAGACTCAATCAAACCATGTCTGAAATTCTCTTGTATTTTGTTGTGATTAGTGCTTCCGAGGGATCACTTTGTTTCCAGATTTTTGCATCTTTGAAAGACAGAGTCTATTCTTCTTTTTTTTTTTGGGGGGGGGGGGGGTTCAAGTGTCAACTTAAACAGGGTCCTAGCATCTAGGTCATGTGTAATGGTACTGATATAAAGTACACATCTTTTGTTAATATTTAGGTGCAATTCTTGATCAAATATATTCTATGCATCGCCTTTGATGCTTTGCATCAATGCGTTTTTTGTATAATATTGTAGTTCTTACAGGACGGGGATAAGTCGTTTTAAAAAATGTGTATATATGAACGTAGTATAATAAAGTGGTTTTATTATAGTGCTTATTTTCGTATATAATGTTCCAATACCAGCTTGTTTTTAAATATAAATTTTAAATTTAAAAAAATTTTAACAAAAAATGTGTAAGGGGTCACGGGTTATTGGGATGATATGGGATTTAAAATAACTAGACATGTTTATTCGGGGACTAAATTTCATGTTAAAACAATATTAAAATGTGATTGGCAGATGTTCGGGCTAAAAAAAAAAAAACATATACAAAAAAAAAGGGAAAAGGGAAGGTGCATTGCAGGTAAACATTATAAATACCCAATGGTCGTAAATATACAGTGGGTTTGTCAAATCTTTTTAAAAAATACGTTAATAAAATTTCACCGGGCCTATTGTTGAAATGAAACAGATTTTAAATTTTTTTAAAAACGATGACCTTAAACAAAAAAAGAAAAAAAACCCAAAATAACGTGCAAGTAAAAAAATTTTCTGAAACATATCAAAATTAGAAAAATTTTTTTAAAAATTGTATAAAAATAAAACGGTTGAAAGTTAAATTTTAAGTAATCCCTTTAAAAGTAGACCATAAATAATTCACCATGAAAAAAACATTTAAAAAATATTTGAAAAACTCAAATAAACAACACAAGCAAACATTTGTATTTAATAGAGGAGAAAAAAAACAAGAAAAAGCTTAAACATATATCTCGATATATTGTCGCCTCGGCGTCGACCCACTCACTCAACCCCCTTTACTCACTCCTTTTCATCACTCCTCACTCCCTTTAAACCCCCTCACTCCCTACCGTCACTCACCCCCCGTCAAAAAAGTGACCCCCCCCCCGAGTAAATTAGACTGCCGAGTGTTTTGATGTTCTTTCTTTTTGTATATAAAAAAAATAAAAAAACGTTCCTGTCGTTAAAATTTAAAACCCCAAAAAAAAAGATGTCCGAGCATCTGAAATTTTATTTTTCTATGTTATCTTTCCCCGTGTAAAAAAAGTAAATTAGAAAAAAAAAACCAAACCTGACAGTCAGCAAAAGTGAGGCGGGGAAATAAAAATGCACTCCCCGTTAGCATTGTGAACGTTTCAAAATAAAATCCCAAATTGATGCAAATATAGCATTGATACATCAAATAAATCACAAACAAAATGTAATAGTTGATTGGAATTATAACACTAGCATAGTTAAGGCACTTGTTTGACTTGAAAAATACATATTCTTTAAAGGGATACTCAGGCAAATTTATGACCAAAAAAATCTATACATTTCGCGTTTGTAGGGAAACCATGGAAGCTACAATGACAGATATTGTGGATATTGTAGTATTGAAACAAGTCTAGGCTATTCATTTGGAATGTTCTGAAACGTTTCTAGAGTTCACTGTGACATCTATTGTGAAATCTTGACACTCTAACCTGACCCGCGTGGGTCAAGTTAGGAAATCACCATTTCATTCTTTATAAGGAGAAAAGTAATGTTCCTGTGACTTCTTTGTGTATTCATAAGAGGACATTTACAGAATAATGAATGAAAAATTCAAAACGTAGAAATAAAAATATTGCCTGTGTCTCCCTTTAAAAATGCTTAGATAACCTAGTTCGTCCATTCATACAAACAAAAGCTGTAAGAAAACTATCTAAAAGTTAATTTCTAGTTTTAGAGTAAAATTTGTAATTAGTTTTCAAAACATGAGAGTGAATAGTGAATGTTTTACGCGTATTTTTTATTTTCTTATTGATTCATAAACGTGATCTGTTGGTAGTTCACTAAGATCAGATTCAGCGAAATTGATGTACACTGGATCTTGTCTTATTGTCGATGGAGGTGGATTGTTTGTCATTTCCGTTGATGTTGTACCTTCACAAATAACAAAAAAGTATATATGAAAATTAATATATCGTACATATATCGGTTTGTGTTACCTGGCCTTTGATACATAGATACAGATTACAAATAAGGTTTGTGTGGTTAGACTGGCCGTTATGTCAAGTTTCATATCTTTGACCTCTAATTTATATAAATTATATATATTATAACTCTTATTATCGATGTTTGTTTCCAAACACAATTTCAATAAGGAAAAGACAAAAAATACAAGTAGTTCATTGTTAAAGGTTTACACACTTTTATCTTAGAAAAGAAATTACTACATTTTTGAATCATCATCAGTACATCAGATATAGTTTAATACAATTTAACATTTTACCTTTCGAACTTGCCTGTTCATTTTGATATTTCTTTCGTCTAAGCAATCTAAAATATAACATCATAAATCAGAGATTGTAATCGTCATAATCAATGAAACAAAACATTATTGAATAAAAAGTGAAATTTTAAGTTTACATTGATAAATATTTATCTGGAAACGAATTTAGATCTATTTTGTACATGAGTTTGCATTTTCTTATGATCTATAGATAAAGCAAAACTGCGTATTCCTAATTATTTATGGTTTTCAAGAAAATTTTTGTAAAAAATTTATATTAGATTTGCTAAACAATTAATACATAATTACATGTATTTTGTGGCAATTACAACAGCAATCATAACAAAACAGACGACCACAGCCACTATTAATGTGAGCGCGTGTACGCCTTCTTGTGATGATTCGTCAGTGTCTGTAAAATATTCAATATGACAAACGTAGTTGAAACATAAATAGTAAAATAAAATTATTGAACATTGAACAACTATAAATTAAAATAACATATTCTGTATCAATGGGAACAATATATCAGTACGAAGAAAACACTTAATTGTATAACATATTAATCAAGTAAAATAACTTATTGTTTTGTAACTTTGAGTAAAATATTTTGATTTCATACACACGAAATTTTTACAAATTTCTCTATTGTTGGCAACCTTTAGTATTTTCTCTTGATATATATTTCGATCTTAATTCTATGAAAATTTAGAACATATCTATACAAAATGTTTACTTCGATATCGCCACTCTTCTGTAGCAAAGAAAATGTCAGTAAAATATCGCTGTCAAATAAATTCATATTTAAGGGAAACTAGAAGCTTCAACTGAATATATCTCCAGCTACACAATATGTCTTTGAATTATAGACCAGTTTCTTTAGAAAAAAATATTCACATATGTTGTTAAAAGATTCAACAATTTCAACTTCAGTACGAAAATATTATAATAAACCAAAGGATGAGTGTCTATCATTTTAAAAAAAATAACGTTTTTTTAGACACATTTAATTTTGAATTCCAAATTTTTCTAAATGTTCTATAGTTAAGAAAGTGTTACGTTATTATTTAAATATAAAAATAAGTGAATTATAATCAAAGTTAATTAATTTCGTGCAAGTATGAAAATAAAACATGTACATGTATTCTCTAAATATTCATATTGAAATCAATAGATTTATGAAAATTATGTTAAATAATGATTAATGCAACTATTCACGTGAAAGGATTTTTTTTTTCATTTAAAAAGTTGTCCTGCTGCTAGAATAAAATACTAATACTCACTATTTTGTTCAAGTTTGATTTTGACTGTAAGTATCATGTCAGTTCATCTTCCGAAATGAATAATTAATTTAGGCATTTGATTAGGTACTCGTGATATCTACGCTTAAAGTAAGAACAAATAATAAGAACAAAACACATAAACACTTGAAAATGGTATTCCCTGATTTATTATTGAAAACCTTATAAACAAAATACCTGAAATGGCTGGACATGAATACAAGCATGCTCCAGTTCTTATGCTGCAACATGGGCATTCATCTCTACACATGCCCTGACAAAGTAATCCCCATCGTCCCGATGGACAAATACTGCAGTATCCAGTCTCTTTATTGCATCGAAGGCATTTGTCAGACTTGCATAAAAACTGACATGTGCTTCCCCAAAAACCTGGCTGACACACTGTACATAATCCATTCGTGAATGAGCATTGTTCACATCTTGAGATGTTGCATATATTGGAACAGTCGTTACCCCAATACCCGTTTCTACAGTTAATGCAATATCCAGTATGTCTATTACAGCCCCATGGACAGGACTTGTTGCACACATTTTCACAAAACTTACCCCATCTGTTAAAAGTGCAATTCATACATTCGCCGGACGCAATATTACATTGCGTAGGAAAGCACGATCGATTACATTCGTTTTGACAGTATGGTCCCCATAATCTATCTTTGCAAGTATCACATACTCCATTGTTCTTACCACAAATTGAACATTGTTGGCTGCAAGTCTTGTTACAGTTGTCACCCCAATAATTAAGTTTGCATGAACTGCAATAACCATCACTTTTCCTACACGATGAATACAAACAACCCCGACCACAAGAATCAACACAATCGTCTCCCCAAAGTCCAGACTTGCAACTACTACAGTATCCATTGCTTCTATTGCAACCTAGGGAAGAACAACCTTGGTTGCAAGTATTATTACAAAATAAACCCCAGTACCCGGCAATGCAACTGCTACATTTTCCATTACTTTTAGCACAATCTGATAAACAACTTTGGCTGCATATCTTGTTACAAATGTCTCCCCAATATTTGCTTTTGCAAGAACTGCAATATCCATCGCTTTGTCTACATGTTGAATAGTAACAGCCTTCGCCGCAAGTGTCCTGACAAAATTCGCCCCAAAGTCCATTCTTGCAGCTATTGCACTTACCATCGTTTCTTTTACAGCTTAAAGGAGAACAATTTTGGCTACATGTTTCGTTGCACAATAAACCCCAGAGCCCGGACTTGCAACTATAACACTGGCCATTTGATTTAATACAGCTTGACGAGGAACACTTGTACATGCAGGTTTCGTTACAAGTAGCTCCCCATAGTCCGGCAATGCAGCTGCTACAATTTCCATTGCTTTTATCACAGTCTGATGAACAATTTTGACTGCATTTATGCTCACAAATATTTCCCCAATATCCAAATTTACATGTATTACATTCATAATTTTGACGATTTACACCACATGTGTAGGAGTTGTACGAACTACAATTTTCAAAGTTACAGAGAAGTGAACAGTTATATCCGCCATATCCAGATTGACAAGATGTACATCGTCCATCACTTTTACCGCATTTATCTAATGCACACTTTCCACAGGATTTCTGACAGTTCTCTCCCCAAAATCCAGATTTACATGCTTGACATATTCCTGATGAAAAACTACAAATATTACAATTTGTATCAGAACAAACTTGTTCACATGAAGAATTCCAATATCCTTTCTTACATGTCAAACATTCACCTGTTAATTTGTCACATGTTTTGCAATTCGGAGAGCATGTGTTGCCACAGAACTCACCCCAGTAACCATCATTGCATATTGAACATGCCCCAGTCGTTTGATGACATTTCTTACAGTTGATATTACACATATTTTAGTTTTACCTACCCACCATCAGGGAAAAGGAAATTTCAAAACCCCCATCATGGGTTGATTTCAATCTCTAAACACCAAAATAAACCCCCAAAAAAAATACCGACCCCTTTTTCCCGGTTTTTTTATAAAATGCAGGTCGACAATTTGTTTTACATATTTCTTGGCAGTCAGTTCCCCATTTGCCATTCGGACATGCACTGTCGACATGTTTTTCTAAGGAAAAGGAGAATAATGATAAGTTTGTTACCTTCTATGATCATAATAATTTTCAAAATGCCTAAGAACATAAAAATTGCATTTTCAACATTATATAAAATAAAGCACTTAAACTGGAAAAAAAATAAAAGGCAGAAAAATACTTATAATAAACTAATCTTACGCACTCATTCAAATTAGGAATAAGCGTATCTACGAGTGAGAATACTGTTTTTCGAAATTCACAAGATGAAATAAAATTACAGCTTACACAACAAACAAACAAATTGTCTTTTTATTTTATGCTTGAAAACAAGTAAAAACAAAATTTCTTTGATATTAACTTTAATACTAAAATCTGTTTTCCCCAATGTTAGCCTCTATAAGTCGAATTTCTTATAAAATACAAGAAGTCTAGGGCTGAAAAATAAGTTCGACAATCAACGTTAAATGGCGATGTTATTATTCATATTATTCAAATAATATTAATGATCGTTTGTTTTAATAATGATAACAAACATTTCTAGTAGGAGAAAAAAGTCAAACCATCCATTCATATTACTGTTACTAACGGCGAACCTGGCTCTTGAAATATAAGCGGCGCCATTTTTAAAACTTGTGTATTTCACGGGAGGAAAGTAATTGTGTTTGATTCAGAGGGATATCATTTGTATTTGTTAGTCATACATCTTTTAAGAAGAAAGAAAACTTATTTGAGGATTGTTAAAGACAACAAATAAGTGTTAACAGATGTGTAAGCATTCAAAAAGCGGATAGAAATTTGAAAAAATGGAATTTTTGAAAGGGTGCCTGACGAACGCTGGGTGGTTACTTATTCTTCGGGCTGATGTCTGTCATTGCTTTTCAATATGCCCAAATGTCATCAACAGCAGTTTTGCATGTAGAAGGAATTGTTTTTTTCAGACTGTAGAAATAAAACAAAAATTAAAAGACGATATTTGGTGTTTGATAATTTGAATTGAAGTAAGTTTTCTTCTTTTTATTATTTTTGAAATTTAAGTTATTTATCAATTTCAGCTTTGCTTTCTCTAAACAGCCCTGACAATGTCATAATTGTCAACAATAATAAAAGTGAGGTACTGCATGGGGAAAATCTTTTAAAAAGTAATCTCATCATTGAAAAGTGTGAAATTATATTTTGATAATTTTCACTGTGAAATTATCAAATATAATGTTCACGGATAAATCAGCAATCTACTGAAAAACATAAATTAAAAGTTTTATATTTACTCACCGAATAAACTTAAAACCAAAATTGAAAATACACAGAACACATTCATTTTTTTCTAAAACATGTTTAAAGAAAATACTGCAATATTATTCTATCCTTATAGTCTAGTAACTTCAGTAGTTGAACATTTCGCATCGATCTGTGTACTTTGCTTCCTTTTCATTCAGTTTTAAAAGAATCACGTGAAAACAATACATGAGAAAGTTTAATCAATTGACATCAATTGAATTTCTTTAAATTGTGATTGCACGATCATGCAATTGCCATTTCACGATATGAAGTTAAGAGGCACCAATGACAAGTTTAATAATGAGGAAGCTATTAACAGAAAAAAAAAATGTCGCCTGTTTTGTTTGATTAAGGATGTATATAGACATGTAGGGTTTATTGCAAACTATCGCCCATGCTACATTGTACCGCCTTGAGAAGAATCCAACATTTTCATCTGATGTTTGTACAATTTAGAATTGAAAAAACAAAACAACAACCCCCCCCCCCCCCCCAAAAAAAAAAAACAAAAAAAAAACAAAAACAAAATAGGCAGATGTTTTGGGTCTTTTACACTTAATGTTTAAAAGGAACAAAAAATAAATAAAAAAATGACTATTTTTTTTTTTTTTGCGCCAAAAATGTTTTAAGAAATAATGAGAGCTTCCATATTTCTAGGAAAACTCCGAACGGTGTATATACGATTGAAATACATGTATTTAAGTTTCTATGCAATTTATAATCACAACTTCTCTGTAATTAAAGAAATCAAAAACTTAGATAATTTTACGAACTCTTAAAAGATACACACCAAATATTTGTCTTACACCTTTGATTTTTGGTTGCAAAATTTTTCGTTTATTTGATTAAACAGAAAAGAAATGAGAGCAAAGCTCTGCTTTATAAACAATTTTTATATGATTACAATTTTTACGGTCATTTGAAAGTTACACTGATCCAAACTATATGTGGTAATGACAAAAAGAGGATGCAAATGCCAAACAACAGGGCAACAACTGCCGTTGGCCGTCCATATATGACAGAAAGAGGAAATACAAGGGATTTTTGGATTGTAAATATTTAAGCATCGTGAACCAGATAATATCGTTTATTTTTTCTTTGCTGTAATTGAAGTAATACGATTTAAAAAAAAACTTTTTACGCGGATGGATTTTAAGGATAGAGGCGGCATTTTAACTGCTTTCACGTTAGATTTTTTATTCTTATCTTTAGTAATAATAATAATATTCTAATTTATTTCAGAAATTGCCAGTTGCATATTGTTCGTATATTTCATCGTGCCATTTATGATACATGCTATGGATACTATCATAATAACATCAAACCATTTAATCGTTGATTCTTCTTTATATTATATGTTGTTACAATTTCTTGAGTTTAAGAAAGTCATGTTAGTGTTTGAGTGTTTTGCTATTGGTTATATATATCGGATCTCGGAAATAAACTAAAAGGGAAAAAAAAGAAACCTAAGTGTATTATATTATGCATTTTAATCGCTTAAGAATGAACTCTTTATTCCATCCAAAACGGATTTTATAACATTATCTGAGTCTTAATATGTGCTGTAATGCATTTATATTTCACATATTAGTATCTCGTGGCGACGACATAGTATCTCGTGATCTCGTGGTCACGACTTAGTAACTTGTGTCCACGACATTGTATCTCGTGCGCATGGGATAAATAAAAACACACACATGTCAAATCTGTGCCACCGTAGTTTTAAACTAATCGTGATTGACGTTTTCCTAAATAAACAGTATCAGATAATTGAATTTGCGTAAAGCATATTCTACATATACTTAAATTCGTATCGATAGCCATTGACAAAATTTTGTCACACCTTAAACAAACCATTAAAACCTTTTTTTGTCTTCTTGATTTTGTGTTGGAATGATAGTGTGTTATTGTGTGCAGTATCTTATTCTTAATTTGTTACTCAACTTACATATATACGAAGTATCAGCCAGTGAAATATAATGACAAAACTAGTAAATATGCAATTTAGTCTTAAGAAATGAGCCGTGTCACGACTAAACCAACATAATGGGTTTGCGACCAGCATGGATCCAGACCAGCCTGCGCATCCGTGCAGTCTGATCAGGATCCATGCTGTTTGCTATCAGTTTCTCTACTTGTTATAGGGTTTGTAAGCAACCAGCATGGATCCTGATCAGACTGCGAGGATGCGCAGGCTGGTCTGGATTCATGCTTGTCGCAAACCCATTATGTTGGTTTTGTCGTGACACGGCTCAAATTTAAAAAGTAAAGATCAACAAGGGAGAAAGCAACGTTCATTGTACGCGTCACAAATTGTATCTACTTTCAGACATATAGAAATTGTATCCGGTTATACCAAAGTAAGACTTTAACTTAAATCTTTCGTATGTAGTGTTTATCATTTGAGTATAGTTATTGTTAGTTTTTTAGAACAATGAAATACCAATTTAGTTTGTTCTTATTAATACTGTATAACCTTTATATACAAAATGTAATTATTTTCCTTCCTTAACGAAAGCTTCCGTAACCACTATAAAATATATTGAGTGTTGTAATTGTTTTACCATAAATATATTTCTAACCTAAATAATGATGAAATAAAAGTGTTAAAAACGATTACTAGTAGTTCTTATTTTGGGTTGCCGTAATGATGTATACCTTTTATTTCAATTACTTTTAATCAAAATGATAAATGTTTGAGTATGCTGAACTGTAAACACATCATAGGTAATATTCCTATCAGTTAAAAGTTGATCCAAACTTTAACCAATTATAAAAGTTTAATATTAAACAACTTGAAAAAAAAGTTTTCGTTTGTTTTCATTTAAATTAATCTGATATGTTTATACCCGCCCTTCCAGCGGATGTCTTATTCGTATTAACTATTCCTTAAATGAATAATCGAATATCTTAAAATCGTTACATGTCCCGTTTTATAAATTATGCCGAATGTTTACTAGTTTCTTTGCTGAAGCATCTGTGAACGTTGAAGTGTTCCAATATTAATGCATCTAATATTAGATTCTTCATAGGTATCATGATTTTTTCTTTATGTTTAAGTATTCACTCCAAACAGGTATACAAAGTTTCAGTCTCCCGATCCAAACTTTAAAGTTATTTTCATAGTCTTTTATGTTTACTATAAATACAATAGAATATTGCAGAACCGAGATGTTTGCGCAGAACAAAATTTCGAATTGAAAGGTATTTTTTTTAGCATTGGAATCAAAGCATGTCAGAAGGGTCAAGGCCAGGTTAAAACGGAGCATGGGGTAGCACAAGGACTTTTTTCCGCCTCAGAACTTCTTTTCAATAGACGCCTTGTGAGTTGACGCGTTCTCATGCTGCAATTTGACATTGGCCAACCCTGTTGCGGGCCTTCGTTTTCAAAGCGTTTATTTAGATTTTGAAGAACGTTTGTCTTTTAAAATTAATAAGCAAAAGGAAATAATAATCATACATCTTTATTTATCATGACTAACAAACAAAAACATTTCAATAACAATTATAATGCTCATAATGTTCCTATTACTTTTCTATTTTCTATGGAAGCAATATATGCATATAACGCATATAACATGATACATTACAAGTATTCATATCTTCTATATCTTTTAATGTGATACAACATAAACAATATCGATCGTTCAATACGTGGAATAGGATTTCTGTTAAATCTTCCTGTTTGAATTTTTAGGGGTATGCCACTCATTCTTAATTTACAAAAATAACATCTAAATCATTTTGGTAAAATATCTAAATAGTTCTCGTATTCAAATGCAAACATGGCATCTTTATAAAATGTAACTGGAAACTAAATCAGCAGAGTAAATCTTAAAAATGCCCAAAAATTATTGTAGATTTTTACAGATTACAACACGTAAATTTCATAATCTTAAATTGATACTGTACACTCTCTTTTTATCTACATGTATTTTGTACAAGAATTTTGCAAATTAGTCATGAAAACATTACTTAAACACAAATCATTAGTGCAGTATTACCACGACAAAGACATTTTAAATGGCTAAGGAAAATAAAAATAAAATGGTAAATATTTAATATGCTCTAGAACTATTGTTATAAATAAAGCAGAGCTTGTTAAATTTAGATTTGGATGTAGTTTGAGCCCAGAGTACACTTGATAGCAATTTGTCAATGGCTTAATTTTTCATAGACGTGTTCTGATGGTATTCCACTTTGGTTTGAGTCAATGACATTTATGTACATTCGATGTTGTCTAACTGTCGGTGAAGATTGGTTGTTTGTCATTTCCGTTGACGCTTTTGTACCTTTGCAAATAAACAAAATGAAAATTAAAAAAAAAGATTATTTTACAATATAATATGTCTATGTTATTGCTTTGTCAGTTTTATTTTTAAAATAGATAAGAAAATGTTGAGTTACTTCAGGTATTTAATTATATAAAACTTACTAACATATATATATATATATATATGTTAGTTTTGTCATGACGCGGCTCATATATCTTAGAATAAATCATAGTTAGGGCTCAATGTGGCTCCAGATACCAATATAATCAATTATGCATCAAACAAGTACTGTAACCATTACCTTTCGGTTCTTCCTGTTCCTTTTGATTTTTCTTTCTCTGCTTCAATCTACATTATAAAATTATAAACTGTATATCAACAAACATTGTATTATATATAAACAAACAAACAAATAAACAAAGACATAAAAAGCAGCCACCAAGAAGATGATAAGTAAACTATCTGTAACAAATAAACAATTCAAATGTTTTTATTCGTGACATTTCTTTCCTTTCAATGTATTAACCTTTTTTTATTATAACAAATACTATGTTTATTTTTTTGTGAAATTTCATTGTACATAGTGATTATGATTTATTAACAAAAAAAAATTTAATTTATAAAATTAAAAAATTTAAGTGTATAATTATATTCTGTTAAGATTGGTTTACAAAATAGTTTGATATTATATTTTGTACAATAAAAATAATATTCAGATTTTACAAACAATATAACATTATTACCTGTATCTGGTAGCAGCGTTTACTGCAACAACGACTGCAGTTATAACAATACAGACGACAGCAATAGCCACTATAATTGTGAGCACGTGTTTCCCCTGTTGTGATAGTTTGTCAGCGTCTGTAACACGTTTAAATATATTCAGAAAAATATCAACATAATTCAAACTAAATAAAGCCAGCTAAAATTAATACGATACACAATAAATACATAAAACTTTTGTTAAATGTATTAGAATAAAGCCCTCTTAATGCAAACATTAAAAGTGCTTTTTAAAATAATTGTGTAAAATTAATGCCACTAACTGATACAGTGAATTTAAGTTAATACATGGTTTTTATTTAGTTTTTTTTTAGAAAAATCAAATATAGCTGTTTTTAAATAATATACATTTACTTATTTTCCTTGTATTAATTTGTTTTTGTCTTGTTTGACTCTGAGCGCGTGTTTTTCTATAATTGTGTATCATTGATATTCTGCAGTCTAGACACATCACTCGTGATATCAGTGCAAATGATACTGGTTACAACATAAATGCATCACAAGCAAACGTTAATATCACTAACTAATCTGCCGATTGTCAAATAATATAAAGGAAGTACCTGAAATGTCTGGACATGAAAATGTGCATGCGCCATTACTTATGTTGCAACATTTGCACCCATCCATGCACATGCTCTGACACAAATGTCCCCATCGTCCCGGAGAACATTTACTGCAATCCCCAGTGTCTTTGTAGCATTGAATGCATGTTTCAGACTTACATGTAGAATGACAGTTCTGACCCCAAAAGCCTTGCTTACATATGAAACAAAACCCATTCGTAATTGAGCATTGTTCACACCTTGAGTTGTTACACATATTTTCACAATAGTTACCCCAATATCCGTTTCTACATGCTTGGCAATATCCAGTATCTTTATAGCAATTGTGAGAACATGATGTGTTGCACACACTTTTACAAACCTTTCCCCAACTGTTTAAGCTACATTCCAAGCATTCGCCGGAATCTACACTGCATTTAGAAGATGAACAAGAACGACTACATTTGTTCTCACATGACATTCCCCAAAATGCACTTCTGCATACAATACACACGCCAGTATTCTCATCACAGTTTAAACAATTTGTATTACATGTGTTGTTACAGCTATCTCCCCAATAATCACTCTTGCATTTGCTGCACTTTCCATTGTACCTGTCACACAAAGAAAAGCAACCTTTGCTGCAAGTTTCATTACAAAACATACCCCAGAATCCTGGCTTACACGTGTTACATTGCCCGTTGGATCTTAAACAACTTGAAGATGAACAGTTGTGCATGCATGTTTCGTTACAATTTTCTCCCCAGAATCCAGGAATGCAACTGCTACAATACCCGTTGCTTTTATCGCAGCTTGATAAGCAGTTTTCACTGCATTTATATTTACAAATGTTTCCCCAGTATCCGGTTTTGCATTTATAACATCCATAATTTACACTACATGAGTACGTGTTGCAGTTTCTAAGATCATTACATAGTACTGAGCAGTTCTGCCCGGCAAATTCAGACTTGCAGGTCGCGCATCGTCCATCACTGCGACCACACTTACCCGACAGGCAATTTCCACAACTTTTCAGGCAGTTTTCTCCCCAAAATCCTGATGTACACGCTTGACATGCTCCTGAAAGTTTACTACAAATATCACAATTCGGGACAGAACATCTTTCTTCACAAGACATGTTCCAGTAACCAATTTTACATATCTCACAATAACCTGTTAATTTGTCACATATTTGACAATTCGGAACACACGCTTTTTCACAGAATTTTCCCCACTTACCATCGTTACATTTTGTACATTCACCATCTGTTTGTTGACATTTTGCACAATTCTTATCACACGTATTGTTGCACGTATTACCATACCAACCATCAATACAATTATAACAAATTCCGTCACTTTGACGACACGATGTATGCCTACAATTTTTCGGACAATCTTTATTACAGTAGTCATCCCAATAACCAGTGCTACAATATCTACATACTCCTGTTTTCTCATTACATGATATTCCACAGTTTATCTCACATGTTTCTTGGCAATATTTTCCCCAGTTTCCTCTTGTACATGCACTGTCCACATGCTTGCCTAAACGAAAAATATAAATTTATTTGATATATGTTTTCTTCTCATTTTGTGAAGACAGAAAAAATGCACATTTACAAAAACTAAATGTGAATAAAAATGAATGGAGGAGGAAATTTAACACAAAATATGTATTTGAAAGTTTTTTCAATAAAAATTGATACTTTAAAAAATATATGCAAGATAAAATAGGTGTTAATAAGACCATTCCATATCCAAATTCAATATGCAAATGGTGTCAAATATAAAACAACGTCTTTAAAGCATATATAAACTTTTATATAAGAATTTAGATACCATATAGCAAGGTGAATTAAAAATAATCACAAAATCATAAGATATCTTTATTGAAATTGTAAAGTAAAAATGAAATTAATAGATAACTATTCTTGAGTTAACAAAGGTAATTCGATATGATATGGTATGTTATGAACAATTTACACTTCCATTTATTCAAACAATAAGAACAAAATTAAATCAAACTTTAAGCAACACATAAGGTAAATCGAATAATGCATGAAAACAATTTTAGCGTATATATTATGTTTGTATTTGTCGTTTTACAACTACATTGGGATATTTTGAGAATTCCAAATTATACGATTTGGATTCCACACCTGAACTACCTAATACTTAACTGAAATATGCTTTTGAAATATTAAGATCTAACATTGACTGTGCATAACGTAGATAATGAAGTAAAGTAAGGAATTGAATCCATTTTAATTATTTAAAGAACAGAGTGGGAGAATGGTCAACGAGACAAGTGTAAAAAGATCTAGAATTAATTTCAACAAGTCTGCAAAATAACGATCAAATAAAAGAACGGCCAACATAAATCAACTGTCTATAACAAAACAAAAACAAGCAAAATGATAAAAATGTATGTAATCAAAATACTAACAATCTTCAAAATGAAAATAAATTTAAACACGAGACAATTATACCTATAACAAAAGCGTCTATTTCAGACTCAGTATGTATAAAACTAAGTTATAATTAATCAATTTACTAAAATGAGAATTTAGAAGAACATTAATTCTATACTGCTCAATTACCTGTTATTTTAAACATTGCAAATACAAATTAAATTGAAATCTAACTCACCGAAAAGGCACAAACCTAGAACTAAATATACAAAGAGAAAATACATTTCGTCTATTCTTTTCTGCCACTATAACGTTTTATCTTTCTCTGTCCGGAGAGTCCAGACACTGGAACTTCCGCCTTCAGCATCTTGACTTCCTTGTTGTTCAATTTTAAAAGAATCACGCGTAGATCCCTTCACGTGATTTATGAATAATAACGTCCAAAGAAAAAAAAGAAAGAAAAGAATTGACGCATGAACACACTATTGTTAATTGATATTTCATGATTATTATGAAGTTAAGATGCACGAGTACAGGGCAAAAGAGGAAGACATGATTTTACCCACAATTGTGTCTCGGTCACGTTTTGCTATATAAATAAATTAAATATTTTGTCTTTGTTTGTGATTTAAGTGTTTCTTAACATACATGGGGAAATTGCTTTTGTTGTAAAATTAATTTTTAAGTATCATTCGTTTGTTGGTCAAGCTATTTCTATTAAAACAAACCATACAATGTAAATAACTCACAAATTATAAGTAAATTAACAAATATTCGCCTATTAATTTTCCAATACCTATGGATCCTTTATTAATTCTATGTAAGTGCAACTTGAATAACGAATTAAGAAGAAGTTATTTATAGATATGTTTATGGCTTATATAATTATGTCATTCTCCTCAGACGTTTATCACTTTGATGTTGTAAATTTTATAGCAAAAAACTGCGTCTTTGTCCGGCTTGTTTGTAGAAACATTTTAAAACCGCTCATTTTTATTTACCATAAGCGTAATTTTGCCGCATTATGATAAAATCTAAGATATTCTAAGGTGAATATATTTTGTTACGTTTCTTTTATGTTTATGAAAGTCATATAAGTATTATTTATATTGGAATGTGCAGTATTCTTGCATAAAGTGATACATTCAGATGCATTACCGATAGGATTCTGTTTTTTTTTTTCTATTCTTTTGTCACATTAGTGTTATTTGTGAAGTGTGGCGGCTGAAAAAATAGTCTACCCGTAAATTTAATCAAAGATGTTATATTTTCGGTCCGTGAAGATTATTATTGTGTATACATGTAATAAGTCGGTGCTAGGGGGCTTGGACGGGAACTTGAACTTTCCAGTACCGTCCATGAGCAAGCTCAATCAAAGCGAGCCTGCAACATTTTCAATTTTGCCGTATTGTGCTTTCTTTAGAGATTCTGTTTTTTCTCTATTTCATACTATATTCAGTAAAAATAAAAACACAGAGATCAATGACACCATTTCGAAAAAAGCTAGACGGGAATTTCTTTTTCATATAACATAAAAAAATCAATCAAATATCATGTAAAGTTTACACATGAGTAAATATTTCTTTCAATTCTATTTTACTACATAGTAAAAGTACCGTATTTGATTGCATAGTCCAAATGAGAAGAACACGACAACTACTTTTGTTTTTGTTAAAGCAGCAACCTTATGAACAATTTCTACCAAAAAGCTATAGAGAAGTTCATTCATTTTAGTAATTACCTTATAAGTACTTTTTTCATCGGGCTTAATATTATGCGATAATTGTTTAAAAAGGTACCTTTTTCTGCGGCGACGTCAACCTTGCATGGACATGTTTTATTTTTTGCGGTTCTACGTTCAATTTTTAAAGTAAACCATTTACGTCATATTTATTTGACAGTGTTTACTTCCTGTTTCAAAGTTAACTGATAATCAGTCTGATTTGTTGTCGTAGCTATAATCGTTTGTAAATTCTCTTTTAGGCGCTAGATTCCTCACTTTTCTAATTCTAATTATCAGATTAGTGGATTACAATACATAGACCCCCTGACCTGTTTAATTCTAAATATCACATTAGTGGATTTCAATACGAATTTCACAACAACATATTTGTTAACAAGAGAGCACATGTTCAGCTTTTATTATTCAAGTATTCACCATGATTGATATGAAAATGCCACTAACCTGTGCAAGTAGGTATATATTAACAACTTTGAATAAAAAAGTAACCACAAACATTGGCATAATATGTTTTAGTGACATGCTAATTATATCCACTTATCTGATAATTAGAATTAGACAGGTCAGGGATGGAGTTTGATCTCTTTAATTTTTATCGCAAATAAACAATACAAAATTATAAAAAAAATACCCTATCAGGCGTGATGTAAGTCTTATTTTGTCTGTGATACAATCTGAATCAGTGGTATAAACCAAGGAATCAAATATAACTATACACTCAGGGTTGAGGACTAGATTCATCTTGTGTCTACGACCATTACACTGACAGGCCGGAGCAGATCTGTGTCTTGGTATTGGTGAAAACAAAGTTTTGTCGCGATGCAGTTGTATAAGACTGCACAATATCAATTTTTGCAATAAATGAAACCATAACAGAAACAAACATTATTTTTTATCCAACATATCTGTTTTCTAGCACTTTTACCTTTACACATGATTTGCAGATTGCGATATAAATGACTAGAAAACTTTCATATATACAATATTTTTCTTTACAACACCCTATCTATATTAAAAGTCTACTTTATATAAATACAATGCTTTGGTTAAATACTGTAAAATAACATCTATAAAAATGTAAAAATCTAACATAAAATAAATGAGAGAACTAACATGAAATACTTTATACATGTCTCCAAAACATGCTTTGGTAATTTGAAACAACATGATAATGAAGGCGAATGAAAAAACTTCTATAAGGTACAATTATGCAAATACAAAAATAAAAAAAACAACATTTTAAGCATTGTATGGTGAAGATGAGCCAGTTTAACTAGAAAAGACGTAACAATATTTGCATAAGTTTTACGCAAGTTTAGTCAATATTTATATCACATTTACTGTTGCATTCGAATTTGTACATCTGACTTTGCGTTTGAAAGACGTGTCTTCGTGGTTCTAAGCCTTTATATAAAACCTATACAGCAAAACGTCATGACATTAATCCGCACGTTATACTACACATGGAGCCAAGAGCTAGGTTGTAGTCAATACCATTTCCTTTGTGTCAAAAGTTGACTAGGGGTTGATTTTGATTTGATGTGAGATATTCACAGCATATATCTGAGTACAGTTAAAATACACGACGATTTCTCGGTCTCCTGGTTTCTTGGGACACATGTTGAATTTACCGGTGTAAGTTGCTCCTGCATTTACATTCCTGTAATGGAAAAAAAATACATAATGTCTTACAGTTTATCGAAGTTTGAACAGGTAGACATTTTGTACGTTCGGTTTCTACAAACATAATAATAGTAAACTGTGTACTGTTCACTTCTATATCAATAAGTTACTTAATTTAGGTGGACATTTTCCTCAATACATTGGCATTGATTTAGTCAACAACTTCCAGCATTTGATTATCGTTTGTTTACATGTTTTCTTAGCGTAGGTTAGACCGAAATACCATATTCATACTATTATGTTCGAGGTCCTTATCCGAAGACTAACGAGAAAGGATTGGGTAAATGTTTGGTACATGTTACTCTTTAAAAAAGAAAAGAAAGAAAGAAATACGCAGGAATCCATCACGTTTTAAGTTTATGCAGATGATCCAATTAATTTTTCGGTCAAACATGTAAAACGTCGATTCTTTCTTCTTAAATTTCTATCATAAGTTTAGTAGAATGACAACATAATGTATACAATATTTGCACGAAAATTATATAAAATTTTTTAAAGAAATGTCTTTATTATATTCAATCATATTCACTGGTATCATTATATATAACATTGCGAAATTAAAACATATAATTATAACAATTACATAACATAACACAATGGTCTTACTGTTGCTTGTATTTTGTAGGTTTTTGTACACCGGGTCCATCTACACGCAATTCACAATTTGTTAAAGTCACCGGCAAGGGATTTACAAAAGAAACTTCAACTTCGAACTCATTTCCAACTTTTCCAGTCTCAGGTGCCTAAAGTAAAGAAAAGAGTTACAAAAAAGAATTAAAAAATATTACTTTAAGCTTTCTTTGCTTTTATTAGTTTTAGCATCCGCCGCAACAATATTTCATTTCAGTAATTATGATAATGCCAAATAAAGAACCTAATAGTGTTAGTTCTTTAAAAACATCATACAGACGACCCTAAGAAAATATTCCACCACGCTAAATCATACTGGCTGCAGTCCGTCAAGTTCTTCAACTACTTCCTGTAAATTGAACATCGGGTGCATCATTGCGGCACGGCCTCAGATTAGACTGTCAATCTTTCTCATTCAAGGTAAACACTTGACTACCACCGCAAACGGAGGTAGAGTTAGATCTATCAATAACGAAATATCTATTTGCCAAACCATGATTTGTTAGCTATAAAAGTTACTTACTTCAGCAAACAAATACAACCGCAACTTAGAAAAAGTGAAAGAGGCCATGTGCTGCGACCTATGTTAGAACTTGTCAATTTCAGGAATGCTGACCTGAACTTCTATTTTGATAGTATGTTTTAAGTAGAGGATACATAATTTATTTTTGATTTGGAACACAATTTGATAACAATATCCAAAATGATGTCTACCTTTATTGTAAGATGTGGTTTACGAAGCCGAAGCTCGTCAAGGTTAGCGAACGTTTGCTTTGTTTCTTCAACTAGGCACATGCAAGATATTTTACAAATACAGTGGTCAGTCAGTTTGTCCAGATATTCGTCCACTCCGACCTCTACATCTATGCACTTCTCTACAACGGAAATTTACACTAAGTCAGTAAAAAAGTTTTTTTTCTTCAATATGACATTTTTTGATATTTTAATTTGTCGGCATTCATGTCAAAAGATCAGCATGGATATCAATAAACAATTATAAAATTCATGTAATACTATATAACTGTATTTTATTCATATGGAATTCTACAAGATTACATACACCCTCACTGGTAAGAACCTAAACATACATCTCATTTTGTGATAAGCTGCATGTGTAAATTTTATGTATCTTCCCCCCTAACGTGTAACGGTGACCCTGTGGTTAAGGTGTTTCCCTATCATCTAAGGGATCATAGGGACGACCACGTTTATTTCTAGTAGAGGCGGACCCTAGAATGCTTCAAACAAGCTTTGGCGTGCTTTCCAGTCGAACTTAAATAAATAATGGTTTAACTAAATTTGGAAAACCTACGTTCTCCAGGCTGCAAAACGGTTCCATCTATGGAGAAGTCTCTAATGTTCCTGTACGTGACACCTGTGTAGTAAGAGCTGGCCAAAGATAGCGTTCCATTCACTACTCTCTTGTCACTACTTGTATTCTTCAACTCAAGGCAATATTTCATTGTATCTCCCATGAATACATCAGGGTTGGCTTTAAGCTCAAAAGTTACATCCTGTTAATCATAATATAATTATCATTAGAATTGATGAGAAATGTTTCCGACAACTATGACGATCGTAGTCGAATGCGATAATCCTGTGACATACTTGTGACATGAGTTAACCTTATGTCGAAAATGAACGATGTTATTGTATAAGGCTGTTGTGTCATATTGTATAAATGAGAATCAAAGCATATAATGTGATGACACCTTTTGTCAAAAATTGACGATTACATGATATTTTAATTTTGTATGTTAAACAATACACTAAAACTATCTTTAAGGTCCACATCTGCAAACTTTTCAATTTTCAGTAAAGAAACTCATCCAAACTCTTCGGTAGAACGCTCTAGCGCTCGGCATTCTTTATTCTTATATCTTTCTATATGAATAGAACAAAATTGCTCTGAACAAATATGTTTATTAAGAAATACAGCCGTAAAAAGTTGCCCCGTACTACAGTGTTGTTATATTTTTTGAGTTTAGCACTTTTAAGTGTTAAGAATTGAGTACCGTTTAAGCCGGTGCTAGGGGGCGTGAGGGATGTTGCACCTTTTAATTATGCCTCATGTACAAACTCAATCAAACCGAGTCTGCAATTTTCGTGTAATTTTGCTGTTTTTAATGCTTCTTCCGAGGGATCTATTTTTTCAAGATATTTGAGCTCAAACTGAAAATGTCTGTATCTTAACATTTCGCGATTGATATATAATCAAATGATACATTATAAGCACGTGGTATTGTTACAAAGTTGAATGTCAGTTTATACCTCGGCTTTAGTTTCATAAAACCCTGCTAGTGTTGACTTCTGATTTGCTTGACGTACGGCAGTTCTTTCTTCGTCAGACCCTTGAATGAAATTCAATTCAAGATATGTTTAAACATTTGTAAATAAGAGCATGGTGAAGCTTGACGATGAATTACACGATTTCTATCTATCTAAATGTTAACATAAAAGAAAATAACTTAATGAACAAATTCATTGTTTTCGTGAAGATATTAAGTTTTTGTCTTTCCAAAATTGTATATGTATCATACAATATTGCTGATTATGTTAAGGCCTATTATGCCTCAGAAATGCATTTCTATCAGAGAAACTTTTTTTATATTTTTGGTATCTTGTTAGAGTTTCCAAACTTTACTCATTAGCCACAAAGTTGAATTATAAACTGCTTCCTTTGTTCTTTTGGCAATTGGTATAATTATAGTAAATAAATATTTTGTATAGAAGTCAAAATACTATTTTATTTACATTTCGCTACCTTTATGACACATTACAGCACGTTCGCGTCAGTGCTACGGTCTTCAGTTGTTAGACATCTAATACTCTAAATTTACTATCAAAAATATTAAACACATGCTTTACATTTCAAGAAAATTGAAAAAATATAGATTTCTGTGCCTGAAATAACAATTACTTACCTTCTTTGAACTTATATTGATCAGTCACATCTTCCCGTTCATCGCTGGAAGGTCTCTTGGTACTTATACTTTTCCCAATGCTTAAAGTAAAAATGACATGCTCCCTTGAACAAACATTATTTATATGTGCATGATTCAAGTAAATGACTTTATATCCCGATTCATTTTGTCGCATAAATAAAGTGACCTTATACTTCGAAATTTACCCGTAAATGACTTTACCTTTCAAGCCCGGAAGTGACCTTATACTCTGTAAAAAAAACCTTTACCTGCATTTACCTCTATAAATTGTACCTGACTGAAAATATTTGTGTAAATACTCACTCTTACTGACTCAATGACGTTAAGATTGTATGTCGAGTCAATGTAGTAGAATCACACTGACCGTCTTCTTAGATGCCAATATCATGATAACTGGACATTCTAAATGTATACTAATATCATCTGTAACCCTTTCTGCAATATTTTTTACAACAGGTCCATTATATCTATGGAAAACTGCTGTCGAGCACACGCCTATCATTATTATAATACATTACAAGTTACTATTTTTAACACAAATATACTTTCAACGTACAAGACAACACTTTCAGGTATATGTAGTATGTGTACTTTTAATTTGTAAAACAAACCTGTATTTATTGACATAAACTTTCTCCATTGCACCACTCTCGCTCATTTTCCAGTATACCCTATCAGAGTTAACCTCGGCAAAGCAAAAAGGTCCGTCATATGGATAAAACAACTCTCCTCGTTTAATGGCCAAGAGAGACATTGGTCCCATACAATATACACCTTGAATAAACCAAAAACAATCCGTATGTAATAAATGAGAGAAAATGTAATATAATTATACTATATGTGAAAATATGTATTGTATACTTGAAATTCGGTGAACAATAAAAATAAGGTGTTAAAAACTTATGCTCTTTAAGTTCGTTTTTTTCCCTTTACAAAACAGTGTAAACGTCATTGTTAATCAAAGGCAACTCACTTATTGAACAATTGTATGTTTCACTTGCCCGGCAAGGACCAATGTGTCATTAATACAGAATTGACTGTTCATTAAATAAACACAGAAAGTAAAAAATTTAAATGTTAAAAAAAAAATCAACAAGAAACAGTCACGCCACAATCCAACTGTAAACCAATGTTCTGCAGTATATATTGTATTATTTATTTCAAACAAAAATACGAATGTATGAATAGTTAACTCTATGCATGTATAAGTATTAGACAGTATAATTGATCTGTTTTTAAATGACTTACCGTCGCTTGTTTCTTGTGGTGTAGCATCAATAGCTTGCCAACCTCCATATCCATTAGGTAGATCTGGTCGGGCCAGCCAAACGTCGTTCCAAACGTGAAAATTCCTAAAATAACACCAGAGTCACTTTTGTTATACTTCTTCATCAATAATTAAAAGCCCTTATTATCATAACATTATACTAGTATTTGGATTTTGGAAATGTTAACATCTGTTCCAAACGATTTTATTCTTGACTGCAGACATCAATCCACATCCATCATTGAGGGAATACAGTGGGAACGTTTTACAGATCGCATTTACGCACTCTGTCGGATCAATAGCGGAGCACTTGAAATAAGTGAGGGCCATCTACCGGAAATTTTGCACCTAACAAGCCAACGAATCGTAATTGGCGTTGGGCCGGAGTTTCAAATGACTGGTGCATTACTGTATGGCTGAACTTGAATAGTTTAGCTGCAAAACGCAATGCAATATGTTTTTAGACTATACAGTTAGAAGTCAATACAAACAAGAATGTACTTTATTTTTGAGTCACTGTTACACGATGGTCTGGAAAAGTACACGCATTTCTTCTTCACCATCTTGAATTTGCTTGGCATTTTTAATAATCTATATCTTACCACACAGAATCATTATTTTCGTCTTCCAGGGGTTCCATCTTCTCGTTATAGTGGTAATCTATCGTTATGCTTCCGTCAGTATCGTGAGCAGACGCGAAATTTGTCACACTTCTGGCTGGTATACCAAGTGCCCTACAAACTGTAATAGACCAGTCCATATTTGTTGCGTTATTCATTGTGATATTAAATAAACCTTCAATTTGCTAAAAATGGTGCAATGATTGTGGCCTTCTTTGAATTTGGAACATTCCTTCCAAAGTTTAAAAGATTCAATGAAAATATATAAACTGAGATAACAACAGTATAGAGCCTGGTCAGACTGCACGGATATGTAGGCTAGTCTGACTTTATACTGGTGGCAATGGCTTATACTGACGGGTAAAGGTGAATTAACATTAGTATGACATAGCAATTTCAAATTTAATGTTCTTATGCTGTGACCTCAATGGAGCTTATAAGAATCTTACACCGGCTGCCGGTACAGACCGGAATATCTAGCTCGAGGGTAACTGTTTACAGCGGTAACGAGGCTCTGCCGAGTTTCCGCTAAACAGTTACCCGAGAGCTAGATATTCCAGTCTGTACCGGCAGCCGGTGTTTGATTCTTTTTCTTGCATATTACATGTCAATTATTTTCGGCATTACGTTCTTTTTTCTTATAGTAGCGTATGAACATGCAACTTCATTCATAACGGAAAAATGACGTCATCATAAGAACGCGATTCATTCATAAAAGGCGCGCGTCAATGACGTCATTTAAAGCACGAGACTTGTCTTACATGGGGGGTGTAAGACAGAGTTTTCTAGCACCGGTGTAAACGGTAGATAATCCTGTCTGAGATGCAAGAATCTTTGATATTGTATATGCCATTCTTTTTTTACAGCAAAATGCATGACATAATGCTTTTGCTTTAACTGAATCTTGATTTTTTGTAGATCTAATGGTAAATTTAAAGCGAAAATAAAGCGGGTCAATACCTTCAGTATATCTTGTTTTACAGCATTGCTAGGTTCTGTTTGTGGAACAGTCAACATACATTCAAACGTGTTAAAAGTATAACCGAAAAAAAGAAAGAAAATGAAACAGAGTTAATATTCAGAGATTGAAAAAATTCACCTGTTGTTACTATGCCAGAGAATACCCAGCACTGTCCAAATTTTACAGGTCGTTTAGTTGAGTAATATTCATTAAGAATGTCTACACTTCCGGGCCAATTCAATGGAGATGTACCGCCAGCATAATCACCGCTCCAGTTTCCGGTTAAAACACCATCGTCATCGGAAGAATTCACCTTGAAGAATTTAACAAGAGAAACATCATCATTATTTCGGTCAATAAACTAATAATTGTAGAAATATAAAAGCTTTTTTTTTCAGAGCAATTAATGAAATATGTCACTCACTCACTCACTCACTCACTCACTTACTCATTCGCACACTCACCCACTTGCTCGCTTGCACACTCGTTCGATCGCACACTCACGCACCAACTCACACACACATTCGCACAATCACTCGCTAGCACACTCACTCGCATACTCACGCACAAACTCATTCACTCACTCGCACACTCACCAACCAACTCACTCATTCACTCACTCACTCACATTTTCACTCACTCACTCACTCATTCATTCACTCACTCACTCACACACTCACCAACTCACTCATTTACTCATTCACTCACTCACGCACTCACTCACTCATTGATATCATGCATAGTTTGATAATAATAACTTTATACAGCAAGAAGCTTACCATTTGTGATATTTTTCTAACAACTGCTATCGGATTACCTCTGGCATTATCAAGAAGACCGGATACCTCTAGTAGCAACAACGAACAATCAAGCATGTTTTCCTCAAACTGAAATACAAATTAATTGAAATTCACTTACAGCAAAAGTATTGTTTTATTCACACATTAGACATTTCTTTTTTTTAAATAATGTATATCAGAACAATATACTACTTAACGAAAAATGTACGGCAAAATCATTAACATTTGTGGCGCACTATTGTTCGTGGTTTTCCTGGATAGGTCAATCCGCGAATTTTAGATCCAACGAAATTTCATTTCGTCTGCTGTAAAGATATTTTGCATCACATCATTTCCATTTTCCCTTTTGGAAAAATAATAGTCCACGAATTTATGTACTAACGAAAATCATCTTTGTTACTAAACCACGAAATTTCGTGTCCACTAAATTAAGTGAAATCACTATCCAGTTAATCAGGAAAATATCTGTGATTTATCTCGTGTTAATGAAAACTGACTGGTAGAAATTTAATTTAATTAACGTGAAAATTTAAAGTTAAACTGTTGCCTGAAATATATCATCACATCACAGATGTTATCGACATTACGTTTTGGTTATTTAGTCATTAAAACAAACACGTTATTATTTCAACTTTTCCTGCAATATCAGAAGCACTTACCTGACCAAATACCCAGGGTTTTGGTGAAATCTTTTTATAGCTTCCAGAGTAGATTTTTCCAGTTTCGTTCAATATGTATTCCTTGAGAAGTTTTTCTTCATACATGTATACAAAGTCATCTGAATATATAAACATATAAAACCAATGGTACAAAATATGATAATACAATACTTTTTCAAGAAAAACCAAAGTGTTTTTAAACGTCGTCGGGAAAATAACCATAAGTTTAAAATGTCCCAGAAATTGTCAGCCTAGGAGAATAACAGCCTGAAAATGGCAGCCTAGCAGCATAGCAGCCGGCCTAGCAGCATAGCAGCCACAATTTGATGCTATAACTTATTCTACAAGTAACCTATAATGCCATTAGCAATTAAGAGCCCATAATTTGAAATGTTATGGAAGGTATGTATATATACATGAATTTATATAGAAGGCAACTTGTTGCGTACCTTTGCACCATGGATTGAAAAGAATATAAATGTCGTCTGTATGGGTATAACGGAACACTTCTACAGAGTTCTCTGCTCTTTTTACGACATCTATTTTTAAGGACCACTTTCCGACCGGACATGATGGCGATGAATTCAAAACGAGGTTAAGTGAATTTCCTTCTTTACTGTTTATGTAAGCGCCCCATTGCTTTGGCTTGTCTTTCTCAGACAGAATGAATTCTGCATGTGTACCAACAGATGGTCTTGGATTTTTACCTGAAAAAATTATATATTATGGAAAAAGACAACAAATGTCGTGCAAAATGATGTACTTTGTAAATCAATTAAAAAATTAATCTTGATAAAAGAACCTTTCAATTATGAATTGAATCATCAGAGATAATTGCGATTACGACAACGACGACGACGATGATGATATTGATGAGATGATGATGGTGATGATGAGATGAAAATGATATTGATGAATGATAATGATTATGAATGACGATGATGATGAAGATGAATGATGAGATGTAGAAGAAGAAGATGATGATGAGGACGATGATGATTATGATGATGAATGATTATTTAATTGCCTTTTTTTATTGATAGTATTTTAATAATTTCACAACTGTTCTTTAATTAAAGCTTATCATGTCAGCATTAAAAAGAGGGTTTAGACAGCATCAATTAAAACAACTTAATTGGACTTCCTCTTAAAGGCGTTTATTTTATGAATAATGGGAGAGACAAATTATATTAATATTAATGTTATGGCAGTAAACAACTGCTGAAACTCTGGGCAGTAGGAGCTTATCTGACTTGCAGACGTTTTATAAATTACTTGAACATTAGTCAGACATATCTGATTGAGTGACATCATAATTGAACATATTTTCTTCCTTCAAATTCAATTATACCACTGATATTTCAATAAAGATTTTCTGGCAGAAACCGGTTAGCAGTTTTATTGCTCCTGATTTTGAAATCATTTTTCTCCTCTTACGTAATTTGTTTAGGTGAAAATAATGCTATGATATTGTCCAACAGAGATCAGTTTTGAGATATTATTCAAAACTATGCGATAAGTTTACGGTGAAAAAAAAGGAAAAGAAAGAAAGAAAAACAATACAAACTAAAAAACTATTTGGATTTGCCATTTTTGAACTTTTTTTGTGACAACCATTTTAATGCGCCTTTTCGCTAGAGTATTAAAGATATACCTATGAATGTAAATATGCAAAAAAAATATGCAATAAATGAACAAAATTAAGAAAAAAATCGTTTAAGTGGTTTCGGCAATGACCACTCAACAATTATCATACAATTTTAGTACTATAAACATGATTGGTAAATTAATGAGAGGTCACGCGGTCTAAATAACAAAATATGCCTTTCTTAAGTAAAAAAAAGTCCAACATTTCGAACATGCCGTGCACTTGGTCCTCTTATCAACAATGTTAAAAGCACGTGATCACGTACAGATTATTCATATCAGACTTCAGTTTAAAACAAAGATATGTTAAAAGATAACACTGGAATTTGCAGCAACTCATCTCTTATCTCTTACTTCATTTCCTCGAATATTTTGGCACCCGTCAACTTGATTACAAAACCAATATTTTGATTTTTGAAAATCCTGCATCAAATCTGAGCAAATGAATTTAAATTCTATTGCATTATATTTATGCTAAGAATTTCTAAAGATTGTATGTATTATTTTACTGCTATATTCAGACAAAAACTGGTTTCATCCAGTCTTCAATATTTATTAAACCTAAGTATTGTCTTACTTATTTACAAGAAAGATAAACTCTATACTAATATATATTTGATTGTTTACTCTTTTAAAGGGTATAAAGCTATATCTTATGGTTTATTTTTCATAAATAAATAAAATTTGAAAACGGTAATTATTGTTTTCGTTACCTTATAGTCGTTTCTCAAAAGGGTTGTAACATAGAATGTTTCTGAAATTTATCACACTTGAAAACTGTATGTACAGTTAAACATGTGAACAAAAGCCATCTATCCAAAGGATAGACCATACATTGCCTTTATTGATAAGTGGCATTTATTAAGAGGTTTTTTTGTTCTATTTAGACAGTGGAGGTTTCCGTAAAATAGTCGTTATTTACATGGAAGATTTTTATTCGGAGATGGCTTTTAAACACAGGTCTGACTATAAATGGAATAAAATGCTATGGAGCAAAATTTTATGCTGCTATTTTAAAAGGTATAGAGCTATATCGTATGATAATTTTTAATTGATCAAAAGTAAAATAATATTGTTTCCATAATCTATGGTTGATTATCGGAAGAGTTTTTAAAACGTCTCTTTTATATAACACTCACAAATACATGTGTTTTGTAAATAAACAGAAAAACGTAGTTCCGGAACAAAATATTATGATGCTATTTTAAGCAAGGTTTCATATTAACTGTATAGCAATGATTTCGTGCATGCGCCATTCGCTTTTAAGACAGTATATCACCGTATTTCTTTCATACAAGCATGTCGGAAGTATTCGGGTTTTTTTTTATAAATTAAAACAATATTTTTGGAGCAGATACATAGCTTTTTTACGCTTTAAAATGTGTGTATATCGTATCGTTATGCTGCCCTCTGTTATATGTCGTGGCTTGTATGTTCGTACATAGAAAATATGTTAATAAACTTGAGGTGACTATGACTTTCAATTTACCCCAATGACTAAAGCCTAAGCTATCATCTCATTATTATTATGTCTTATGTGTTATCTTATCAATTTTATTTTTTACTGTGCATTCTACTTAAGAAACACTTTGGTTATTTAATTAGAACATTCCACAAATATCATTTTAATAATGTGTTTACATATTTGTTAAGAGTGTTTTCATACAGATGACATACTTTTAATAACCTCAACTTTTCATCATCAAGCAAACAAATGAATGTTAAAACAGTAATTAAATAAAAAGAAAAAAGCATTTAATCTAAGATAGATAAACTATGTACAATACCACACCGTATTATCGGCGCCAGTGATGACCGGTTGCTGCAATAATGACAGAGATGTTAAGATTTACTGATTACTACAGGTACGTTATAATTTTTTTTATATAACGTGACAATTTCGTTGCTACAGACTTGCTGTCAGTTGACTGGAGATAATAGCAGATAATTTTGAACTCGTTTTCCAATTTCATAAAATAATCCATTTCATAAAATATTTTGACCGTTTAAAAAAATCTCTGAAAATTATTGTATATTTAATCTTTATTTATTTATTTTTGTTCAAAATATCTCAAGTTTTAACTATTGAAAGAAGTTCGTATTACACACATAGACATTCATCTTTAAGGTTACGCGTGCCAAATATCGACCCAGACGACTCTCACAGGCATTCAAAGTAGACCGGTTGAAGATAACATGCTGTGTTTTCAAGGCTGTCGATAATCATATTTCGAACTATAAATGCATGTTGACTAACCAAATGTAGTACTCACCCGAAGTAGAGTATATTTCTGCCGTCACTACAGCAATCGGCCATCATTGGCGCCGGTAATACGGTGTGATTGCACGACTGATTTCATTGAATCTAGCTTACCTAAGCATTCTTTTATGTTGTTTTGCTTCATTAGAAAAGCAAACTTTTAGCTCAAACACGATGGTATAAGCATTATCAAAAGCGATAAAGCATTAACCACAAAAAGCTTATCTTGATAATTGCAAAAAACAACAACAACAAAACACATACTGGTGGATACCTAGACTATATTTGCACGTTAAACACGTGCTGCAAGACGAGGCATTTCGTGCAAAAATCTCAATAATTCGAAACAAGTTTTTTTTGTGTTTTGTACATAATGTTCAAGTAAAACAAGTAAGATTGCTAGGTATGATAGTTAATAATGAAAGTGATATATCACAGAAAATAAGATAAACTATGAATAGATAAGAATGCAATTGTTGATGATAACAACGTAGCAAAATAAAGTAAAGTGATGATGATGATGATGATGAGTTTGATGACTTGTCTGTTTTTTGTATTGCATCTTAATCTATGTTTTAAAGATATTTAATTCAATAGCAATATAGCATATCAAACGCATATAATCTGTACACCCTACAGACATAACTAAAAAATTCATTATAACAAATAAAAATCATGTCCTTACCAAACTGAAACACAATTCTAAGATCATCTTTCTGTGAATCATAAGGTCGGTTAAACTCAATGTTGATGTTGAACTCTTGACCTCGACGTATAACAAGCGATTTCTTTTTCTCGACGACATCATATTCGTTAGTGTGGTGAGCGTTTGAATTTGTTTCAACGTCAAGGTCCACTTTCAGCACCTCAATCAGCGTCTTGTCTTCCGCTGGAACTGAAGTTAGAAAAATTAATGATTTATTGATCATTTCATACATTATTGAATAAAAAATTTTTCTCGTAAAGGGAGACAATGCAAATACTCTTTAATAATGTCCAATACGTATTTATGATAAGGTACTTCTGTTTCATAGAAATATCTTTTTGTTGTTGTTGTTGTTGTTGATGATGTTGATGATGCTACAATAACTGTGGGCGTAGATGATTTTCTTTGTGCTGTTTTTTTTTTAATTTTATTTATAATAATTGGTGTTTAAGTGGTTTTATTTGACCTTTAACTGATTCATTTATTTTTCGTGGTCATGCAATGTTTTGTAAAGAAAAAGTTCCGAAAGAAGTGGTGTTTATTTTAGCTTGATAGAACTGTCAACATTTGGATCAGAACGGAAGATAATTACGCATTATGATAGACTTAAAATGACATAAAAATTGCTAATTAATAATTAAAACACTTAAAAATTTTGGGGAAATATGAGCAATTTCCTTACTTTTGATAGGGGTTACATGCGAAACATATCAAAATAATAAAACAGCAAATGAGTAGCCACGAAAATATGACAAAAATAATTGATAAAAACACGAGATAATATAAATTACAGACATCTACAGGTAGACAGAAAAACATTTCTGACATGATCCAGCAGACAAAAACATTGATGCTATTTTTCATATCTTGTCATGATATATATATATATATATACAATGATTGCTCAGCAGGGAATTTAACGTATACTGTGTGCCAACGTTAATATAATAGTGCACGTTTGTCATGATCATGTCGACTTTCATTTTTAAAATATATTTATATTCTTTATGTACACGCCTACTGTAAATACTCTTTCTTAAATATTAGAATTCTGCTCTATTACAAATTCCTTATAGACGTTTACAATTTTTCAAATGAATTGAAATCACGCACCTTGGTACCCTTCCTCGTCGTATACCTGCCTTCTTTGTATATTTGTTTTTATTGTATACTTTAAATTAAAATATTGAGAAACATTAATGAAATGAATTGCCTACTTCCAAATTTTCCGTATCTTCACTGTAAAATTTATTTTTTTCACTGCAGTGAAAGAAATTTTCAGTATTTTCATTGTTGTTTTGACGGACTATTTTCTTTTCTATTCAAGCAATACAAAAACTTTTAAGGGGAAGTCTTTCAAAATATAATGTTTAAAAAGAGAGAGAAATATATATGATAAACAGAATATTAAAGCTTTTTTGCCAGAAATACGGGATTTATTTTCATCTTGTTGTATGAAAATTATCATATTTCACACGTGGCTACAGCGACTCATGAACTATTTATTTTCATATCACTCGATGATTATGAATAGAAAAAAATAACTTGGATATACTCTATACATATTTTATAATTTATATTTTTTTCCATGATTAACTTTTCGTCCGTAAAAATGGGCATTATCATAAATTCGTTATACAAGTTCCCTTTACACAGTGTCATATGACCTGTCGAAAATCTTCATAGCTAATGATAATTAGAAATTCGAGTAAATGAGCTTAATTTATAAGCGAATATAGTTTTTAATTTTACCTTACAACCTATATATGGTTGCAATAGCTTTATTTTACTTTAAATTTTAAACTTTTATTTTGTTTACTCTTTCTAAAGAATATTAATACAGATGCAGTATTTATTCAGTGCAGTGTACTTTCTTAACCAACACGGGCGCCAGTTGGTGCAATTATTTTGATAAATGTTGCATTTATCCATCAGCTTTATCTTATCATGTTTACAAGGTAGAAATAATGCACATGTTGCAAGTATAAAACACTGTTTCCATTTCATACACCTATCTTTTGATTTTCAATTTTAGATGTCTATATACTGTGCACGTCAGTATATATGCACGTGTACTCTTACGTTGTGTGTTTATTATACAAAAAGAACTATAAATAAATACAATGTATATAGGTATCTCGGGATGTTTCTATAAAAAAAACTGCCTCGCCATTATTTAGCAGATACATGCCTTGATGTGGCCCCAGCAAGATGTAGTGTTATATCCTCGTAACCAACTCGATTTATATACTATAACTTACATATTCGTCAAAGTTATGAACTCGAGGAATTGAACAAACGTTTTGTGGGCTCATGCTGTCGTAAAAAATATATAGTTAACAAAGTCACAGTTAAAATATTAAAGATTACTTCTGTTACTGATACGACAAAGTGATAATGGCCCTGTAATCTGAAACTGTAAAAGAGAAATATAACAAATCGATTTGCATATCAGGTAATCCATTCTGTTAAACAAATCTATAGAGGTTATTAATAAAACATTAAAGTATTGCATATCTATAAAACCTTAAACAATGTACTTGTCACTCTTTGTGTTTACTATGGAGCTGGGAAATTATATATCCAGACAGACCAAAGAACAGAGTCTGTTCTTGATATTGTGCAATGTTGGTGTAATATAGGCTAATTATTTCCATATGAAGAATATACGATCGATTTAGCTGATCAATGTTATGTAATCATCCAAAAAGTAGTAGCATAATGAAAATAATACGATGCGTTACTTAGTCTTAACAGGTGTGGAAAAATTTTTGGGGTAACAAAAACCGGGCCCTTTCTTTTTTCGAGGAAACGGTATCGGTATAATTTTTTGTGCTGCCGAAAAAAATATGCAACGTTTCAGTTCACATGAAAATTTAAGCAGCCTTCTTTAAAAACTTTCTAAAAAACTTGGTTTTGTTAAAATTATTATCTTAAAAAAGTTTTGAATTTCTCTTAGTATATCTAGAAATGCATTTGTTAATGACAATTCATTTTATTTACAGCTTGTAATATATACATCCTTTTCAATGTTCATTATAGACAAGAAACAGTTCAACTTTTCAACAAATATTTTTATTTTATCGAATATACCTTCGTAAAACCCGTTATAAAAAAAAATAAAAAAAATTTTTTAAAAAAAAATTTTGCTTAACGGGTTTGGGTTTTTCGGGAAAATGATCGAAAGGTTTTGCGGTTACGAAACCCCTGTTTTTCGTAGTAAAGATCCCCCGTTTTCTGGAAAAAACTTCTTGAAAACCATTCCCCTCGTTATCTATTACTTGTTTTATTAAAATAACACTCTGGTTTCCTTTTAAACATTTGTCATTAAATATTTATATATTATAGGAGAATTTATTCACACAAGAATGACAAAATCAGATATGGAACAATATCAGGTGCAACGGTGCGTGAAGTTCATGCCTACACGCTTCATTAACCCATGGTTTCTCAAATAGATTCTATTTGAATGACCCAGGATCTAAATATTTTCAATATCCTGCGCTTAGGTAAGTTAAGGCATAATATGCCTGTAGATATAGATAATGCTATATAATATCAGAGACTCGTATTACAGAATGTAAAATAAAGCTCCGTGATAAGATGTCTTGGAAACAAAATATTGATTCTTAAGGAATTATTTAGATTTCACAATTTTGAAAAGATAAAACAACAAAAAAACAACAGGTACATATTTTGAAGTAATACTGCAAATGAAATCGCGAACATACAAACATAGAAGAGTCATTATTTACCAAAGGATCGCGATAATTGAGTTTTGAACGGATTTTTATACATCATCTATTACTTTTGCTTTTGATCATTACAAAATACCCTTTTTACGCTTACCGATGCCAGGTTTAACTGCTTATATTGAATACATAGAGATTACTTAAATGTACATTATTCCTAAGAAACGAATAAATATTTCCTTTTCTTTCGAAGGAGAAAATATGACTTTCGTTACTGTAAATAGATTATTTTAGAGTATGTTAGTTGCTTTTCAAGAAAGGAGTGTTAAATGTGAATAATTTGTCACAAAAGTAGCAAAATGTAAACAAAGTAGTATTTTGACTTCCATACAAAATACTAAATCACTATAATTGTACTTATTGCCAAAATGCAGCGGAAGTAATAGATTGACCAATTGACCAATTACTTACCTCTTGGAAACTATAATAGGACACAAAAAATAAAAAGCTTTGAAAAAAAGCATTTCTGTGGCAAAATTGGCCTTTAAGAAAAATCAGTAAAGTGTAATTTATGTTGACTTGTATCATGTAAAGAAGTATCTTTGAAGACCATTAGAGTAGCCGTTTAACAACAAAACATAATAATGCCCATTTTCTGTACTGGTTTATTTACATTGATCATTCCTTTTCTTGGCAAAGATTTAACCAAAATAACAACAATTATGAAAGAAGGATATATATGCGTTATCGTATGCCTTACTTTAAGTATACCCCATAAAACTATAATAAAATATTGAACTTCAGTGTAATATAGGGTGTCTTATTGTTTGATTATAAGTACCCATTTATTACACTCTGTTGCGATTAGATCATATTTTATTGACGCTTCTTTTCCTGTACATTGACATCACATTTGACGATATTATACATTTCCTAACAACTGTTTCTATAAACAAAATATCAATTAACAACATGCACAACAACTGTCATGAAGCGTCCTGATGCAGACGACACGCCTTTCTGTACCCGTCGCGTTTGCAACTTCGGGAATTTTCGTCTCTCTCCGTATCTACTCTACTTTAATTTTAAATTATATTAGGCGGAAAATAACGAAATATGACGGACTTTTACGAACTTATTACCGATCATAAAACGAAGCCTGTTCAATCATATTATTATATTGATAATACTGTGACACACTTATTGGGACAGACTACATGCAGGAAACTTCTAATTCATAAAAATAATGTTCAAACAGTTTTTATGAGGGTATATTTTACTTTAAACCCACAATGATTTAAATTCAGAGTTATTTAATCTATATACAGTTTGACATAAGAGAGTGAATTTATTAGTACATGTATAGGTAAATGTTTACGATCGTTATTGATTATGTTGTGGAAAACAAAATCATCAGTTTGTACTGAGTAAAAGTTTACAGAAATCTGAGCATTTGTAAAACAACAACAACAACACAACAACAAAAACAAAAATACAGACACCATCATCATGTGAAAATAAATGCTTACGTTCTCTCACGTGCCGCGTTATTTCAGATTCAATCCCATTCCTTGAATGATTACGTAATCCTGGATGGCGGTTATAGTAATTGTTATTGTCAGTGGTTCGAGCTCTACGTCCGCCACCGGAAGTGCTTCCTGCGCACCCCATAAGTATAGTTTATATCCAATCAAGCGATTAATAACAATTCTTTTGAACAGTAAAGATCATAAATTATTTAAAAATTTTTCCAAACGTGTCAAATTTTACTCTTTTAAACCACATTGTTTAAAATAAAACTTTTTTTGAACCTTGAAAAGCATATCTTTTAAAAAGAAAAACATATATCCTCCCTTTTTCAAAATATTTCAGCGGAAATAATAATCAAGAAATTGAATAAAATATCGAATGATAAATTCGAAAAGCACGTGCACATCTACCACGATGATATGAAACGCTTTCACTGTAGATAAACTATTTATATTTTCTACTACACGTGCAGTAATTCTATTGCTCTTGAATGAGGACAGACCTACTTGGATATAACCTTTACGATGATTAACATATCTTTTCATAGGTCTCCGTTTATTAAAGTATGGAGCTCTGTGGGTACCATAAATAGTTAAGGATCGATATCTAAACAAAATACAAAGGACGCTCTATTTCATTCGTGGTTGGATGGTATTTATTAATTAAACATTATTTCATTACTTTCAAATAACTTTTTGATGACTCAAATTGATATACAACATCTATTCACTAGTAGCTATAATCAACATTTGTTATTTTGCCAAGAAGCCTAAAATAGGTTTGTTACCACAGCATCTACCTAAAGAAATACCAAAAAAAGTACTTATACATTTTTTGTGTACTTTACAGTCCTATAATGATAAGATTTAGGATGATAAGCAATATTGAGTGAAATGCAATTTTAAAAATCACAAACAGCTTTCTGAATAACTTAAAAACATAACATGCACCTAAACAAAATGAGTTTTGGAAAAAAAATAGTGCGTGATAAAACGTCGCTTTTTTCAGTGCAACATAATCCGGTTATAAAATAGCAAACGTGTACAACAGAGAGTAAATGTGTACAATAGATAGCAAATGTGTACAACAGATAGTAATTGTGTTCAACAAAAAGTAAATGTGAATAATAGATAGCAAATGTGTACAACAGATAGCAAATGTGACAATATACAGTAAATGTGTACAATATAAAGTAAATGTGTACAATAGATAGCACATGTGTACAACAGAGAGTAAATGTGTACAACAGATAGTGAATGTGTACAAGATAAAGTAAATGTGTACACAAGATGGTAAATATGTACAATATAAGTAAATGTGCACAATATAAAGTAATAATGTACGATAGATAGAAAATATGTACGATTGTTAGAAAATGTGCACAATAGATAGTAATTGTGTACGGTATAAGTAAGTAAGATAGCAAATGTGTTACAAAATAGAGTAATGTGTACAATAGAATAGTGAATATGTACAACAAGATTAGTAAATGTGTACAACAGAGAGTAAATGTGTTACAATAGATAGTTTAATGTGTACAATAGATAATAAAAACGTGTTACAAAAGATAGTAAAATGTGTTGCTAAATAGATAACAAATGTGTACAACTAATAGTAAATGTTTACAATAGATAGTAAATGTGTACAGTAGATAGTTAATATGTACAATAGATAGAAAGTGTTGTAAAATGGAGAGTAAATGATGTACAAAAGATAGTAAATGTGTACAAAAGATAGTAAAATGTGTACAATAGATAATGTTCACAAATGTGTACAACAGATAGTATACGTGTACAATAGATAGTTAATAATGTGTACAATAGATAGCAAAATGTGTACAATAGATGGTAAATGTGTACGAAAGATAGTGAATGTGTAAGATATACAGTAAACGTGTACAATAGGTAGTAAATGTTAACAATATAAGCACATGTGTACGATAGAAAGTAAATGTGTGCGATAGATAGTTAATATGTACAATAGACAGTAAATGAGTACAATGTAATGTAAATGTGTACAATGTAATGTAAATGTGTACAATAGGCAGTAAATGTGTACAAGAAAGATAAATGTGTACGATTGGATTGCACCTCATTTCCTTTCAAGATAAAGTCTTATTTGGTTTCACTCCATCAAAATTGTGTTTACTAAATATAAGAACGTCAGACAATGTTAAAAAACGTAACGTACACGGACGATTATGCAGTCTTTCATTTTTTTCGCGTTTATTATATACCTGTAAACATATGTCATATTTAACGTAATTAGCAAATGCAATGTGGCAGAATAATATGCTATATTGCATACAAGAATGATTAAGAGCTCAAACATATGTATATCTTATGTGGAATACCAAGTAAATAAAAGATGCATGCCTCCAGATGAACCAAAATATTTCAAGAAAATCAAACTTAAGAAAAAAAACTAAGATATTAAGAAAATTAAAATGATTCAAAATTCAAGTAATGTTTTCCGGAGGCGTCTGTTTGCAATTAATGACTGCTATTGCAGTATAAGTTACCATATTTCTACTGCGTGACTAACGCAGTAGGGCTATTTTTGGATATTTTGACCTCTTTCTAGTTATTTACACACATTATACGTGCCCTTTGTAATGTGTAAATTGATGTCTTTGTTCACTTTACAGCGTTTCGCTTTTTAAATGCATTTAAAAAAAATCATGAAAATTACCATGAATATCGAGCAATGCTGCTTTATATAAGTAGGTAAAACTAATGTCATCTAAAACGTTTGCTGTTATTGGAGCTGAATATACGTGTGTTTCAAAATACTAAAACTGAATTTTATTTCATCAAAATGAAACGAGGAAGTGAAGTGGTATGTTTTCCGGAGGCGACTGTTGCATATTTGTCTCAAACTTAATCTGTAATGGTTTTCATGCAAATTTTACATCGTTCAAGTCGTTCTGGATCTACGAGATATTGTGCAGACACAAAAAAGCACAATATTTTGTCGCGTACTTACAATTACATTGTAGTTCGACTATCCCTGAATCAAGATAATGCGTGTTTAAAACAGATTTTCACACTATTTTTGATAGAATAAGAACTTTGTTGAATAGATAATAAAAATGCTTACAAGCTTTCGGTTTTCTGGTTATTTCCGATTCAATCCCTCCAAAAGGTTTATTATGAAGACCCGGATGTCTTTCGTAAAATGTGTTTCTATCCAATCGTCTAGGAATCACATTTTCTGAACCGAAAAGCCAGCTATAGGAAGCACCCATTATGATGTAATGATAAAATCCGTCACTTTTTCTTTAAATGAGCGCCTGCGCAAACTATGTCATATTGTAATAGAATAGAGCATATAGTGTTTTCCACCAAATTATCTATCCTGGTGTGTTATTTAATAAAGCCAAATTATATGCACACATGGCCGTCTGGCGTAAAAAGGCGTATCTTTACAAGATAAAAACTTGTTTGTTGTACTGTGCTATCTGATAAATAATGCGCTACCACACTTCAAGATGCAAATCAAATTACATTGAATGAACAGATGAAATTTAATCCATTCTTAAAGTGCACAGCAAATACTTTATCAAAATATCTAAATCTTGAGTAACCTTGATCTTTTACAAATCGTACAATACGCTTTTACAGTCAGGTGATTACAGTACGTTAGTACGTTAATGGTATAACAATTGATATGCACTGATCCATTGTGATTGGATAAAATTTACAATTAGCTTATAAGTAATAATAATCATAATGCCCTTCTATAGTATGTAAAAATAGAAAAATACTGTGCGTTTAGGATAATTATTTGGTGACGCGGTGGTCAAGTCCACTATAACTGTGTCAAACAGTTATCATAGTGTGTTTATTATACTAAGTCAAACAGGCTTTTCATATAATTTAAAATATCGACACATTTTTCCAACTGTCGGCGTAACGCAGTAGGTTAAGTTCTAGTTACATATCAATGCAAGACAGCCAGAATTAATAATAATAATAATAATAATAAAAATAATAATAATAATAATAATAATAATAATAATAATAAATATAACAGTAACAATAATAATAATAATAATAATAATAAATATAATAGTAATAATAATAATACGACGACGAAAATCAACTACTACGATTACTACTGTCAATAATTACAACAATAACCACCACCACAACAACAACATATCTTTACTATTACCTTGTCAGAAAACAACTTATTTCTAATTCACGTGTCGCTTGTATATTAGGATAAAAATATTTATTTTTTATAGATTTCATAAATTCAGTTCCTAGAAACAACAATACTATAAAACAATAATGACATTCTTTTTCCTCGCTAGTATTTCCTTGATCTGACGTTCATTGTTCATGCGTATGAACAGACAGGAGATCAGTATTGCATGACTTACCAAAGGTGTGACATGAACATAAAGTTTGGTGAAATAATACAAATTCAAATGTTTATGATTAAATTAATGTAATATAGAAGAGGAATTCACATTATATTATCATTAAACAATTTTAACCCAATTGTTATTTATGTAAAAAATCTAAATGACTCACCCGAATCCCGTGAGGAAAGGACTCTAGTAGACATTTCGTTTGTGTGGACTATTCGAAGAGTTGTGGCAAGCCTTTCTGCTGTTGTTAACGTAACGCCATCCCTCCCATTGGGCGGGGTTTGTTGTGAAGGTCTTCTTCCCGTGCCAACTATACGGTTTCTAGACATCTTTCTATTTTAACTTGAAATTAAATATTATATAATTGAAATTAGGTGACCTAATTGCCTTCAGATGTGTGTTTAAGTATTTGTGTATCAACAATGATTCAAACCCATACCGTAACTTCGTCATCTTTTACTTAACAAAAATTGGTATTTACCTCATTTTACATGTATTATGCATTAAGTGAATAAAAAATCTTGAATCTTGAAATCTTGAATCTTGAAATCTTGATTTTGTAATATTTAAATACGTGTAATGAATCATAGCTATATTTTGAATGTTAAAAAAGATACGACTAGAAAATGTACATTATCATTGAAAATTTCCAGAATCAACTACATGTATGCCCATAAATCTGTAATTCAAGTTTAATCGGGGTAGTTTGATCGGAGTAGTTTTATCTGATGTTGTTTGTTTGTTTTCGTAGATTTTACTAGGACAGTATCTTCTTTATACACATGCCTCTTTATATTTAAACAATATATTTAATGATTAAGTTATAGAATTAGTTTCCGGCAACGTGCAAATTGGTTATACTGATTTCCGTTGGTGACTGTACCTTTAAACGACCAAAGCGTCTGAAAAAGTCCTGACAAAGGTCGATTGATTACATATGTTGTCCCATATTTGGATGTGGTACCAACATTGATTCATATATTACATAATGTCACGCGATCGAGCTCAGAGATAACGCTATGCCGATGTAAAATTGTTCGACAAAATTGAAAATTTGATTTCTGCGGACAGCTGCGTGACATTAGACAATTTTCTGCCAAAATCTTATTGTTTCCAAGAAGTCCATCATGAAAAGTACGAAACAGAACCAAAATTATACAATCATGACGCGTACGTTCGTGCTACACACCACTAAATCACATTTTCATGCCCATTCTGACTGAGAGAGACACCGCAATATCTATGAATATGCTAGTAAAAGTGTTTGTCCTCTCAAGTAGCCGAGTACAAATATTATATATAATTCAAGACTTAATTTTTAGACTTTTTATGATCACTGATAAATACAGATTACCTTAAATCAACAACCGACTCATTTATATAATTTTGATTCACTACAGAACATAATTTATATCAATACTTAATCTTAAATAATAACACACAAGTTAAGTACATATTCTTTACAACTACAATTACTGCAGTTATACTGTTAACCGCGATTTGTCATTCTGATTACGAAACGCGGTACATTCAGTCAATTTTCATAGTTATTTATCCGAATGCATGGTCAATAAATTGAATATGTCATCATTATATGATATCATTATATTTACTATTATAGTCTACAAATAATCATTTAATTGTAATCATATACTTATAAATGTACAGTTACACCAATATCGCGAGAATTGTTTTAATAAGATATATTTTGCATCTTGCAATAGTAACAGAAAAGCTAACCTTTTTGTATTTCTTTGTAACTAAACGTGTACCACTGTTAACAACGTTATTTCATGTTTATTGCTATAATTTTGTTGTAACAGTTATGAACATAAAATGGTGTTGTTATGGATTTTAAGGTTCCCAAATATCTTCAAAATACACATCGGTGACTTGTTATTATACGAGCGTGTCACTTGAAATCAAGTCAAGCAAACACTTATTGCTTCTTATACCAATCTGTTTTATAACATGACTTGAACACATTAATGATAAGTGTGCGATGTAAACAACGTTAGTCAAACATACATGTTTCAGGTTTGACTTGCATGGTTTACCTACAACTTTGCAGCTTTTATAACTGAGTACTTGAACCTGAAATATTCACCGTCTTCTTTAATCTTAGCCAATGGACATCAATATAACAATGCAGAAACAAAATCGGCAAATAAATCTTCATCTTTTTCACCTACAAAAATTGCAATTGTTTATACGAGTATTTCGAAATAAATTTTGAGATTTTTTTGTAAGATCAATCAATATTCGTATCAACAAATATTTGAATACATTTTGACTGTACTCAAAACTTTGCGAAAATACAAGACAGTATCTTTGGAAGATAAACTACGGGCACATTTGAGTAACATAATAAAGAAATAAAAAGAGTAAGTAGTACATGTACATACATTCTGCCCACAATTACAAATAAATTATTGTTGTAGATTATAGTATTCATGTTAAAGAAAAGGAACTAAATTATCTACGGTTGTTTCTTCTTGTTAAGAAGTGTTTCTGCTTCTATATACAGTCCTGTACATTGTCATGAAAGTCAGGGACTTTACATTACATGCATTCAATTTGACCATCTTGGTTATTTTATATGATTATATATCGATAATACTTGAAATTTAATTCCATTTTACCGTCCGTAAAACGTATTTTAAATAAATACAAAGGTAAGGTCAAATTCATTACCCTAAATTTCTAGACTTCTAAAACTTTTAAACAATAAAGTTATCCTAAATATATTTAATTTGTTATAAAAATTACTTACATTTTTACGTGCGAGATTTCTTTCCGTTTATAATTATGTTTGAGCTTGAAACCGTTTTCTATATTTACGAAAGTCTACCAGATTTAAAATATCGTAGTTCTCTATTTTTCGGTGACTTATTGAATGTTCACTAGTTGACATAAAAGATCAATTCTTGAATAGCAGAAAATTTGATAGCGTACTTTTAATTTTAATCCCCTTAACTTTGATCTTATTCGTTTGTAGAATTAGGTTAAGTTGACAGATACTTTTACCTTCAAAATATTTTCACAATTTTGTAACTTTATTGGTTTACAAATGTATTTCTTGTTTTTTAGGAAAAATAACGTTGCCATTGAATATATTTTATTCCTCAAAAATAGTGCTGACATATTTCAATATCATTTTTCAATTTATTATCAGTGTGAATGAACTTGGCCTGTCCGTACGCTCGTATTCCTTAACATGTTTATCTTAAGTATACTTAAAATTCGGATATATTTAATTATACTTCTCCCTATATTTTTCCTTTCTTCTGACATTTCTTCTTCATAAGTTACCTTACTCTCTCAATACTGATAATTCAACGATCAAATGAGCCGCGTCATGACAAAACCAACATAATGGGTTTGCGACCAGCATGGATCCAGACCAGCCTGCGCGTCCGCGCAGTCTGAACAGGATCCATGCTGTTTGCTATCAGTTTCTTTACTTGTTATAGGGTCTGTAAGTGAAATGTTTTTAAATGCAGTTTATGTACAATTTATTGAATAAATAAAGTTTGAACAAAACTCAATTCAAATTAACTTTAATTATATACAATCAGGATAATTTATGCTGCAACGTCGACCATCTATATATAGAGTCTTCCAAGTAAACCTGATTTAGGAGTGGTCAGGTACCAGACAAAAAGGAATCATAAGAAAATGCTTATAAAAGTCCTTGAATAGTGAATAGAAGACCAAAAAAAAATCAAGAAATGTCAAGGTCTGTTGGTTTATTTCCATATCGCATTATCTATATTTATTTTATGAAAATATCTAAATTCAAATTTTCAATTATGGTCTCCATGGAAAAGTGATCGGCGAACATTTCGCTGTAAGTGATGTTGTATTAATTGGATTGTACCTTAAACACAGATTAGGCTTAGGATTTTGTAAAATAATACGCTCCAATCCAGGAACCATAGTAGCAATGTTGTTGTGGTCTAGATTTAGTTCCCTCAGATGTTGAAATCGCAGAAAGCTGCCTGGTATTGTCTGCAGACTGTTGTACGAAAGGACCAGACCTTCTAATAAACTGTTCATTGGAATAAAATTCCCATTCACATACTGAATCTGATTGTGATCTAAATAAAGCTTTTTAAGTAAAGGTGTATACTTAAGAATGTTTGGAAACTCTTTAAGCGCCCCCTCAACAAGTTCTAATTTTTGAAGTTTCAACAGCGAGTAATTCGTTGGGCATACTTCAACAATGTTTGTAGCATTTAAATAAGGAGTTTCATGTATGGCTAGTATTGTCAGGGCTGTAAGATCTGTTAAATAACACGGTAGCGTTGTTAGGTCAGATCTAATTATACTTATTGCATCTATTTTATTCTTAGATCCGTAGAAGGGTTGTCTTGGTAACTTATATTGTTCTACGTCATACAGTGCAGCAGTAAACAAATCAGTAAAAGAAGATAACTCTGCTGGCCAAGATGTCATGTTGCCAATTCCTAAATCATAATATGTAAGTGTCGGGGCAATATGTTGGAGAACAATTTGATCCATGACTTTGATTGGGTTAAATTCAAGTGAAAGTCCCCGAAGTTGTTTCAGCAATAAAAATGCAAATGGAATATTCGTCAAATTGTTGTATGTTAAATCCATTTCTAAGTACACGTTTTCCATCCCTACGAACGCATTATTTTCGATTTTAGAGATACGATTTTGGTTTAAATCAAGGAAAATGTACGTGGCATTGAGATTGACGGGTGCAAAACCTGTAAACAAACCTCCCGGTATAGATGTTAAGTTATTTTTGGAAAGTCCTATATACCAGTCAAAACTGTCAATTATAGGTTTTGTAATCACCGAAAAATCAGGAAATACATCCGAGCTTGTCTCGTCGCAGTAAATGTTGCTTTGTGGGACTTCTTTGCCGCCATCTTTATAGGCTTTAGTCGTTTCACAAAGACAGGCTGGACTTCGCGGAAGGCACTTGTCTGTTGCAGTGTCAACGACAAATGATTCTGTTTTCATCACCATGGAAAAAGAAAATAACTGAAATGAATAATAATTTCAACAAGTTAAAGATATAAGCGAGTTTCTGTTGTAGACTTGTACATGATGTGCAGATTATTTATCCGGACGACTTATCTTTTTTGCACAAAGATAATTGTATTATATACTTAAATTGTATATAAGAAATATTGATAAAATAAACTGCGTATTCTCATTTTCCGTATTTTCACTGTAAAAAATATTTGTTCAGTGTTGTGAAACATTTTTTCCGTATTTTCGCTGGTGTCTTGCCGGACTATTTTCATCTAAGTTCAGCTAATATAAATAATTTAATGGAAAGGCTTTCAAATTGTAATGTCAAAAGAGAAGAAAAATGTATACCTGTCTATAAATACAAGATTAATTGTCATCTTGTGGTATGAAAATTAACATATTTCACTAGTAGCTACCGCCACTCATGAAATATTTATTTTCTTACCTAGCAATGAAAATAAATTCTGTACTTACAGAAAAAATCTTGAAGATCCTTATATATCACCGTCTAAATTATATTCTCATAAATTACTAAGATAAAAGTTAAGTACCAATATACGTATGGATAAGATATAAATTACTGTTTATTATCATTTGAATGTTTTCTTATTTAAGTTATTGTTAAGCACAGTTTTATACAGTGATTAAAATATAAAAAATACAACAAAAATAATAAGACTGTACAAAATGATTTCTTACCACCACTGTGACGATCTCTCTGACTCCATTTATCATTTTCCCTTGTAATCAGTTATCTGTCGAAAGAAACAGAAATAACATGGTAAATAGTGCGTATATTGTGGTTGTTTTAAGAGTACTTACCTTTACCCCAATAGTGTAGTGCAACAACCGACTCTGTATTATTATATAGAACGCTGAACATCAACATATGACATTAAACGTATGTCATTTATGTATATCACCTTTACTTTGTTTTGAAGAAACACTCCTCGTTGCGTGCAATATAAAATTAATGTTACACAGAAATAAGCAGCTTAGATCTACCTGTAGCACCTCTATCATACACAAAGATAAATAATAATTTTTCATTACCTGAAGAAAGAATCCTTCTTTTCAAATAATGTTTGTAAGGAATGTTAAAATTAACTGCACTGTAAATTTCGTGTTCGGACAACCAAATTTACTGATAAAAATCTAAAAGCAGAAAATCTGTACTTTTAAGAGTAGAGGTGCTAATCCGATGTAAATGTATGAAAGATAAGCTTTTAGGTTCAAACCACAATGAGTTTATAGTTTATAAAAAAGAAAGAGAATATATTTCTGATTTCTTTTTCAAATTTGGAGGTTTGGATAAACTTCTGTTAAAGTACTGTGTATGACTCGATGATTTTGTAAAGTGTCGCATATCACGATTCTTTGTCTGTGTAAGATAACTCTTTGTCTGTGAAGTTTGGTTTAAGACAACTCTTTGTCTGTAAAGTTTGGTTTAAGATAATTATTTGTCTGTACAGTTTGGTGTAAGATAACTCTTTATCTGTAAAGTTAGCTTATGACAACTCTTTGTCTGTAAAATTTGTTTGAAGGTAACTCTTTCTTTGTAAAGTTTGGTTTAAAAACTCTTTAACTGTCAAGATTGGTTTAAGACAACTCTTTGTCTGTAAAGTTTGGTTGAAGACAACTCTTAGTCTTTAAAGTTTGGTTGAAGATAACTCTCTGTTTGTAAAGTTAGCTTATGACAACTCTTTGTCTGTAAAATTTGTTTGAAGTCAACTCTCTGTCTGTAAAGTTTGGTTGAAGACAACTCTTAGTCTGTAAAGTTTGGTTTAAGATAACTCTTTGTCTGTAAAGTTTGGTTTAAGATAACTCTTTGTTTGTAAAGTTTGGTTGAAGATAACTCTTTGTTTGTAAAGTTTGGTTTAAGAAGATAACTCTTTGTTTGTAAAGTTTGGTTTAAAATAACTCTTTGTTTGTAAAACTTGGTTTAAGATAACTCTTTGTTGGTAGAGTTTGATTTAAGATAACTCTTTGTTTGTAAAGTTTAGCTTATGACAACTCTTTGTCTGTAAAGTTTGATTTAAGATAACTCTTTGTTTGTAAAGTTTGGTTTAAGATAACTCTTTGTTTGCAAAGTTTGGTTTAAGATAACTCTCTGTTTGTAAAGTTTAGCTTATGACAACTCTTTGGCTGTAAAGTTTGGTTGAAGACAACTCTTTGTTAGTAAAGTTTGGTTTAAGATAACTCTTTATTTGTAAAGTTTAGCTTATGACAACTCTTGGTCTGTAAAGTTTGGTTGAAGACAACTCTTTGTTTGTAAAGTTTGGTCTAAGATACCTCTTTGTCTGTCAAGTTTGGTTTAAGACAACTCTTTGTCTGTCAAGTTTGGTTTTACAGTACTCTTTGTCTGTAAAAGTTAAGTGTAGCACAACTCTTTGTCTGTAAAGGTTGGTGTAAGATAACTTTTGCCAGTTAAACTCTTTGTCTGTAAAGTTAAACTTATGATAACATCATGTCAGTTCAGTTTGCTTTATATGTCTGTAAAATTTCGTGCATGAAATTTGTTAGGAGTAAGACCGATTTATGCCAGCGAAGATTTTGTTTAAAAAAACAATTAATGGTTTCCGATCTACCTAATTCTTTAAAGATGTTTAAAAATAAAAACATGCCAGACCCTTGTCTAAAACATCAAGCATGAAATTTCAGAAACAATGTCGAGTATAATGGGAAAATATACTTTCAATCAATTAATCAAAGTTAGTCCTACAATTTTTAATGATTGAAAATAATGCACCTATTTTCTTATTGGAAAAAAAACAACCTGTACTTGCACGATGTCGTATGGGACATGTACATCATACTAAATATTAATTCTATAACTGGAAAATGCAAACTGTATAGTGTGCCAAAAAGAACATAAAATTTAAATGAAGGCCGAAATATTTTATTCTATAGATAACCTTTTGTTACCGATTATAATCATGTAAACACAAACCTAGAAATATAACATTTAAACATTTTTAACATTGTACATGTAAGATACGTTTGACAAAGTGATTTTTTTCCAACTGTTATCATATGTCCAGGACATTAATATTTTCCAAACGACAGCATAACCCTTTAATAAGGAAACAACAATGGTGAAAAGTCGAAGTCGGGGTTTCGTTATTTCGATTTTTCACTATTGTATTTTCGTTGTTTCGAGTTACATGTGTGTCGCGATGGCCCTATCGGGACACCGTATTTACTAACTTACTATCCATGTTGCAACCGACTGGTTCTAACCAGCTTCCTGTTTGTGCCTAAAATGCAGGGTGGGTAAACTAGGTCCGGTCTTTTTAGCCACTAGTGGCAAGTATGAAACACTGTTTCTACTACTTAAAACTCAAGAAATGATGTAACAAAACAACTACGAAACAAGATATACCAACGGTGATTTCAATATGATTATATAATAATAAAAAACATCTAACAAAGGTTTGAAGTTTAGTGGTATGTATAAATTAGATTTAATATCTTAAGAAGGGAGGGAACTGTCATATCACTAGCAGTGTCGAAGAGTCGAGTAAAGTTCTCTCCCTTTTATTATCTTGAAAATTTTTTAAATTTTGATTTCCATTTCACCACAACGTCGTCTAATATGAAGAAACATTAAAACAATTATTATTTGTTTTGGTCTCACAGTACCAGTGCACATAACTAAGTGGCATGACGTCATTCATCTACTTTTTTATTGTTAACAATTCCAAAACATTAATTATACATTAATCACCGTAAAATATAAATTAAATGACAAAAAATAAAATAAAATTTTCATTACTCTTATTCATTCGAAAACAAATTAAAATGGAACTCAAATTTCTACATTTTTTTAAACAGGATGGTGAAAAGCCAAAACTACAATGGTAAAAAGACGAGAAAAGAGGTCTACTTAATTTTGCTTGAAATAGTTTATGTAAAGAACTAATAAGAGTTTATATAATATATGAAATCGTAGTTAGTTAAATTTCACCATCGTACTTACGAATTTTTCACAGTAGAAATTTCGTGTTTTCGTTGTTTCGTGTTATGTGTGTGTCGCAATGGCCCCAACAGGACACAGTACTTTACCGAAATTCGGTGTGTGTCGCGATGGTCCTAACTGTACGCAGTACTTTGGGTAGGAAGACATCATCTTTGCTTAAAAGATGAGTCAAAATATTTCAATAAAATCAGACTTGAGAAAAGTGTATTTATATGTAAGAAATGTTAAAAGTTTCAAGATTCAAGTAATATTTTACATATTATGACTGTGTGATTAATAAGTGTTTTTTTTCCAGTATTTACAACTTAATTTCTACTGCGTTACTAACGCAGTAAATGCCATCTATGTATATTTTTACCACGTTTTGGTAATTTACATGGTTTGTAAGTGCCATTGATAATATGAAATTTGATTCCTTTTGGTTACTTTACGTCATTACACATTCAAATTCATTTTCAAAATTTTAATGAAAATTAGCATGATTCTGGAGGCGTGCTGCTTTAAACAGAAAAAGGCAGGTAAAAACAAACGGCCAACGATCGTTGTTTTATATAGTTATGAGCAGACTATCTGTCCTTTATTCTGAAGTTTAACAGTTTTTTTTGTTTCTATATACAATGATACGACAATCTGTCTATGAAATTCAGAAATCTTGATTTTTTAATCAGGAAGTATGTTAGCCTTAGGCTTCTTAAAACGATTTATTTTCTAATATTTTCTCCTGACAATATCCTTTAAAGTCACCAATTTACCTACCAAAGTTGTAACAATAGAATTCACAGAAAAAATGACAAATTAAACATTTTTTTTGTATTTACATGAAACTTGGTCGGCTTGTTTATGATGATTGAATGCAATTGATAACTTGTACCTATTGTTATACCCTGAAACCGTTCTTGTTTACATTTTTTTGGTCATAATCAGGAAGTCCATGAAATCACACATATAAAAAGAACAAAACAAAAAATAGATTTGTAATATAGATTACGGAAATTGGGTGCGTTACTTTGTTGTTGTATAAG